AGACCCCCCGAGAAGACAGCCTTCCCAGAGCAACGCCCCCCAGCCCCCACCCCGCCAAGTTGACAACCTCCTGAAGCTGCACCTTGCTGTCTCCCTCAACACGCCCCTTCCCCCCGCGAAAGCCCCTCGTCACCAGAGCCCACCAGACGTCCTCCCGACCCTGGCCGACCTGAGACCGGCGGGGGCTGCGCGAACCGGGCACGCAGGGCCATGGCTGCACCGAGGCAGGACCACGGCAGCCGGCCGCGAGCAGGAGGTGCCGCGGACGCGCTCTCCCATAGGCTCTACCTCCCCGACACGTCTACACCCGCGTGGCCGGCCGGAAAGCGCCGCTGCTGTCGCGAAAGGCCCTGAGCGGGGAGTCAGGAGGCGGAGCTGGGAACCCTGGGGCGGGGCCTGAGATGGTGCAGACGGCGCGTTCTGGGGTCCACTCACATCCCAGGCCACTGGCTTAACGCCTGCCGAGCCCTTGCTGGTCTTTCAACGCTAAGGGCTTGCTGGTTTTTCAATGCTAAGATTTTGAGCCCAGTAGCTCGGGTTCTTGCCTGACCCATTTAGGCCTCGCAGTGCTCTCCGACGAGAACAGTCAGGTGCAGACAGTTCAGGGCTCAGGAGGAAGGACTGACCCTGCTCAGGATGAATGCTTAGTGTGAGTCCTTAGTTCGATGGCATAGTAGCTCGAGCCTCCACCTATGGTGCCGGCATCCCATACGAGCGCTGGTTTGTGCCCTGGCTGCTCACCGTTATCCAGCTCCCTGCTAATGTGCTTGGGAAAGCAGAGGAGGATGGTCCAAGTCCTTGGGTTCCTGTACTCATGTGGGAGGTCCACAGGCAACTCCTGATTCCTGCCTTGTGACCATGCCAGCTGCAGCCATCTCAGCCATTTGGGGGAGTGAATCGGGAGATGCAAGATTTCTCTGGTTCTCCTCTCTGTAAAATCTTGGCTTTCCAATAATAAATAAATAAATATATATATATATATATTTTAATTTTCTAGCTTAAAAAAAAAGCTAGAAGGGAAGTAGAGCAGCCGGGATTAGAACCGGCATCCATATGGGATCCCGACACATGCAGGGTGAGGACTTTAGTCACTAGGCTACCTACCACACTGGGCCAAATGGGTTGTAACTTTTTTTTTTTTAAGATTCATGTTTGGGGGCCCGGCGCGGTGGCGCAAGTGGTTAAGGTCCTCGCCTTGCATGCCCGGGATGCCATATGGGCACCGGTTCTGGTCCCGGCAGCCCTGCTTCCCATCCAGCTTCCTGCCTGTGGCCCGGGAGAGCAGTCGAGGACGGCCCAAAGCTTTGGGACCCTGCACCCGCATGGGAGACCCGGAAGAGGCTCCTGGCTTCGGATCGGCATAGCATCGGCCGTTGTGCTCACTTGGGGATTGAATCATCAGACGGAAGATCTTCCTCTCTGTCTCTCCTCTCTGTATATCTGCCTTTCCAATAAAAAAAAAATAAAAAAATAAATCTTAAAAAAAAAAAAAGATTCATGTTTGGGCCCAGCGGCGTGGCCTAATGGCTAAAGACCTCGCCTTGAATGCCCCAGGATCCCATATGGGCACCGGTTCTAATCCCAGCAACTCCACTTCCCATCCAGTTCCCTGCTTGTGGCCTAGGAAAGCAGTCGAGGATGGCCCAAAGCCTTGGGACCCTGCACTCACGTGGGAGACCCAGAAGAGGCTCTAGGCTCCTGACTTTGGATTGGCTCAGCACCAGGCTGTTGGGGCCACTTTGGGGAGTGAATCAGCAAATGGAAGATCTTTCTCTCTTTCTCTGTATATCTGATTTTCCAATGAAAATAAATAAATCATTAAAGAAAAAAAATGGATTGGTTCATTTAATGTCTAGCAAGCCCATTACTTGTTTAGATAACAGCATTTTATGAGGTCTGAGTATATTTTTCACACACACAAAAAAAGATAGACTTGATTTACACGCAAATCTCTTTAAGGTCTAGCTTTGTTGGCAGCAGCTGGGTCCTTATGTCTGCTTCAAGCATTCCTTCTCCACAGAGAGAAGGGGAGACAGAAAGATCCTTCATCTACCCAAATAGCCACAAAAGTTTAAGTTGAGCAGATCCAAAGCTAGGAGCCAGGATTTTCTTGTGAATCTCTCATGTGGGTGTAGGGACCCAAGCACTTTATTCATTTCTCAGGCCATTGGCAGGGAGCTGGATGAAGCACAGCAGCCAGGTATTCTTATGGGATGCTGGCACTTCTATATGAAGGCTAACTTGCTATGCCACAGCACTGATCCCTAACTGCTAAAAAATCTGTGATTTTGAATAATCATAGGGTACCTCTCAAATGAACTGTCAGGTAAAATGGTGTTTATTAAAACAGAGAAAGAGAGAAGACATAAGAAGAAAGATGCTCGGGCCCGGCAGAACGTTCCAGGATCCCATATGGGCGCTGGTTCTAATCCTAGCAGCCCTGCTTCCCATCCAGCTCCCTGCCTGTAGTCTGGGAAAACAGTCGAGGCTCAGCTCCAGCTGTTGCAGTCACTTGGGGAGTGAATCATTGGACAGAAGATCTTTCCCTCGGTCTGTCCTCTTCTCTATATATCTGACTTTGCAATAAAAAATGAATAAATCTTTTGAAAAGAAGAAGAAGGATGCTCACCATGTTCGATCCTTAAAGAATTGCAAATTAGAGCAGCTACAATGAGAGATTACCACATTACTATTTGAGTGACTAAAATACAAGGCATTGACAACATGCAGTGTTGGTGAGGGTGTGGAACAACCGCCTTCACAACCAATGGGATTGCAAAATGATATAACCACCTTAGAACATGGTTTGGTAGGTTTTTTTTTAATTTTTAAAAAGATTTGTTAAAATCTGCCTTTAAATAAAAATAAGTGAATATTTTAAAAAGAAAGGAAAAGGAAAGGGGTGGAGTGAGGTGTTTGGGAGAAGAGCTGATCATTTAGCGTGACTGAGGGGTTGGCTGGGAGGTGAGTCTCATGACAGATAAGCTTAGAAAAGCAGGTTGAGTACACTCTCAGAATGCCAAGCAGAGAAGTATGGGTTTTAAGCCAGAGGCTGAGTGGGACTTAGTCAAATATGTGTTTTTGGAGGATAGTAGATAGTGAAGGAACAGACAAGCACAAGAACAGTCAGTTTGGGTCCCAGCATGGTAGCCAAGCAGCTAAAGTCCTTGCCTTGAACATGCTGGCATCTCATATGGATGCCAGTTCTAATCCCGGTGGCCCCGCTTCCCATCCAGCTCCCTGCTTATGGCCTGGGAAAACAGTCGAGAATGGCCCAAAGTCTTGAGACCCAGCACCCACATGGAAGATCTAGAGGAGTCTCCTAGCTCCTGGCTCCTGGCTTCAGATCCGCACAGTTCCAGCCATTGCAGCTACTTGGGGAAGTAAATCATCAGACAGAAGATCTTCTTCTCTGTCTCTCCTCTTCTCTATATATCTGACTTCCAAATAATAATAATAATAGTAATAGTAATGGTCAATTTGGAGGAGGTTGGATTTGTCCTGTCCAGACAGGATCACTGGCCTTGACGAGGAAACAGGAGTTGCTGTGGATAGGAGACAGGGAATGTGGGCTACATGACCAACAATGATTCAGGACTCAGCGAATGGGATGGAATTATGGCAGTGTGGATAAAGTCACCACCTGAAATGCTGGTCCCAACTGTGTCACTTCCCATCCAGCTCCCTGCTTGTGACCTGGGAAGGATGGCTTAATCCCCAAGGGCCCCTGCATTCACGTGAGAGACCTGCCAGAGGCTGCTGGATTCACATTAGCTCAGCTCTGGTCATTGTGGCCGTATGGGGAGTGAACCAGTGGAAGGAAGATTTCTCTCTCTCTGTCTCTCATCTCTGTAACTCTTTGAAGTGAAACAAACAAATCTAAAAAAAAAAAAAAAAAAGAGGGAGAGGTTTGTTTGAACAACAACAGGGAGCCTGAGTCTCCCATATGGGTGCAGGGGCCCAAACACTTGGGTCACCCTCTGCTACCCACCTGCCCCTCCTCCAGCCACTAATAGGGAGTTGGTTTGGAAGTGGAGCAGCCAGGACCTGAACTGGAGCCCATGTGGGTTGCTGGTGCCACAGGCAGTAGATTAGTCTGCTAAGCTCCACACTTTTTTTGTTTTTTTTAAGTATGTGTTGGTGAAGGTGACATTTCCTCTTTGGAACTGTCATTTCTTCTGGGATGAGACAGGAATGTTTGTTTCCTTCTGCATGTCCCTGTTATTGTTCTTCTGTCTTGATAAATCCCATCCGGGAAGAGCAAATTTTCTCTGGCTTTTCTTTGGCCTAGGGCCACATGGGTGGAAAAATTCTTTGTGCCTGGGTCCTTGTCTGGTTCATTGGGTCGTCCTCTGGCCACTGACTTGGGTCACCGACCCTTTTCCCTCCCCCCCTCCTCTGGCCAACACACTGTCCCCTGAAGGGAAATGCAAGATAGTTGAACCCTAAAAGGGAAGGAGTCCAGTCGGTGGGCTAATATTTCCCGACAACCTAGCTGATAGGAGATACCACGCTGGGCACATCGCTGTTACTGCTTAGCACCTGCAAAAGCTAAAGAAGTGAGGAAGTTCTCTCAGCTTCATGTAACCTGTAACCCAGAGCCTTCTGTCATTGAAGCTCAAGGTGACAGCATTCCAAACTTTTAACCTTTCTTGTCCATCCACAGTCCTAAGGTCTTGCCACCTCTGCACCTGCTTTCCTGTGATCTCAACAGTCATCCTCCTACTCTCCCTCAAATTGCTTCAAATTGATTCCCGGAGTTAGACATAGCCTAGACTTTAAAACTTGTCAGTCCAGCCTCAGGAAGCCCAAGCAGGCTGCTTGATCTTTGCTTTGTAGTTCCTGACGAGCGGTGAGAATTTTGGTGTCCCTCGCCTAACCCTCTTCCCCCACCCCGGGGAGCCTTGTGGCTTTAAGCTGAAGCCCTGGCTGGGTGGAGACTTGGGAGGGCAGGGACGTGAGTCCGCCTACCTGGGGAAACCTGCGTTAGGTGTGGCCGGAGCGCAGGGATGCGAGGTGGGCAGGGGCGGGCTGAAAGTTGGAGAAAGCAGGAAGTGGAGCGAGAGCTGCCTGGGAGGAAGCAGCCAGGGTGAGCTGTGCTGCTGACGGGCCCCAGCGACTGGCAGACATGGTGAGCGATCCGGGCGCCAGACGCCGCCAGACCGGGAGGGGGGCTGCTTTGCAAACGGGGGCTGGGGACTGGGGCTTGGCCGGCCGGAAGGGAGGCGCGGAGGGTGGTGGCAAAGTCAGAGGGCCGGACCACTGCTTGTGGCCTCTCTGACAAAGTTGGCCACAAATAGTTCTGAGCCGCCTGGGCGGTGTTCCTCTCCCTTCCTACCATCTCCCTCCCCTGAACTCCTCCCCACCTCTTGCCCCCACCACACACCTCTCTCCTGACCCTGAACTGGGCTGCGGTGGGGGTGGGGGAGTCCGAGTTGCCGGCGGAGAGTTGCTGTCACTTTCCACCTCCTCCCCCCCTCCACCCAGGGCCAAATTGGCTGTTGTGACACCCGCCACTGGGGCAGCGAGTGGCTCTGTCGTTCCTGGCTCAAGTTCCAGGCCAACAGTGCCAACTCTGACATCGGGGCGGGGAGGGGTAGTGGGGGGGGGGCTTCCACTTTATCCCTGTACAAAACCCCAAAAGATCTGCCCCAATACCGAGTCAAAGGAAGCAACCAGGGGACCAGAAATTGGTTTTCTGGGCTAAATCAAACTTCCTCCAACTCCCTTGGCTGTGTCCCTGGGTGCCCAGAGGGTCAGGAGGGGAGGAGCTATGTGCTGTTTTCCCTCCCTGTTCAAAAACCTTATCATGAAGCCCGCGGCAGGAGGCACAAGACTGGAAGGCTTGTCCTCTACTTCCCCCACCACTTAGGTGGCTGTTTTCATTGAGTATCTGCACAGAGCAGGCGGCGCCAGGGGCCCTGTGCCTGGGCAGGGTGCCGGCCCAGCCAAGAGGGAAGCAGAAGTGTGTGTTCAGCAGTTCAAGACGCCTTGTGGGGGACTTGTTTGCTCCCTGCTCTGGATCCCAGCCGCAGAGCTAGGACTTGGCTGTCCTGGAAGCCCCTGGGGCTGGAACAGTCCCCCAGCAGCTGTCTGGGAGCCCAAGGAACCCAGGGCCAGATGCTGTGTCCTGGTGGCTGGCTCTGACAGGTGTCCTGAGGACTCAGTCGGGCAGGGCTCCAGGACTTGGGTCTGCCCAGAAGGAGGACACTATGAGATGCCAGCTCTGCAGCACCCACCACCCTGTGTGAGCAGGCCCTGAGAACCCAAACGAGCAGCGTGATCCACTGTGGCCAGCATCAGCTCTCACCATCCAGGAGTTGACACATGTGCTGTTTATGGCACGAGTCAGACAGGAGAAGATGGCTTGTAAACAATTCAAGCACTAAATACACACTGAAGCATACCTCAGCATACCCTGCCCTGCCCTGCCCACTGAGCCCCGGGTCTCATACCCCACCTCCACCGCTTTGCCTTAATTAACCCCTGTCCTGTGTTTCAGGAGGAGGCCAGTGGAGGTCGAGGAGATGACCGCATGCGGAACCTGCAGAGTGAGGTGGAGGGAGTCAAGCATATCATGACCCAGAATGTGGAGCGAATCCTGGCACGAGGGGAGAATCTGGACCAGCTGCGTAATAAGACAGAGGACCTGGAAGCCACTGTGAGCTGTGGAGCCCCTGTGGGCTAGGAGAGTTGGGGCTGGGAGGGAGGATTGCTGGCTGGCTGGCTGAGTGGAAGGGATGGGTCTGTCACATCTACTGCCTTTTCATCTATTCTGGGTATTGACTTGAATTGGGTCCCCGTTTCCTATTCTGCTTAGTTGCGTCCATTGGTCATCGGGTCCAGGGAATGAGTCCTGTGACTGGGTAGGGGGTAAGAGGCTGACCCATGGAGACATTTTCTGAGCCAGAAAAATGGCTCAATCAACACATTCATTAATTAAAAAAAAATTATTGATGAGGCCAGCACCATACCTTAGCAAGTTAAGCCTCCATCTACAGCAGTAACGTCCTGTATTGGTTCAAGTCCCGGTAGCTCCACTTTCTTTTTTTTTTTTTTTTAAGATTTATTTTTATTATTATTTTTTTTTTTTATTGAAAAGGCAGATATACAGAGAGGAGAGACAGAGAGGAAGATCTTCCGTCCGATGATTCACTCCCCAAGTGAGCGCAACGGGCCAATGCTATGCCAAAGTGAGCACAACGGCCGATGCTATGCTGATCCGAAGTCAGGAGCCTCTTCCGGGTCTCCCACGCGGGTGCAGGGTCCCAAAGCTTTGGGTCGTCCTCAACTGCTCTCCCGGGCCATAAGCAGGGAGCTGGATGGGAAGTGGAGCTGCCGGGATTAGAACTGGCGCCCATATGGGATCCCGGGCATGCAAGGTGAGGACCTTAACCACTTGCGCCACCGCGCCGGGCCCAGTAGCTCCACTTTCAATCCAGTTCTCTGCTTATGACCTGGGAAAGCAGCAGAGGATTGCTCAAGACCTTGGTCCCGGTTCCTAGCTTCAGACCAGCCCAGCTCTAGCTGTTGCAGCCATCTGGGGAGTGAACCAGCAGAGGGAAAATCTCTCGCTCTCTTCTCTCTCTCTGTAACCATACCTTTCAAATACACATAAATAAATCGTTAAAAAGCAGCATTACACAGAGAAACAAAGAGATCTTCTATTTACTGGTTTACTTTCTTATGGCTGAGCCAGACCAACGTTCCACAAGCCTGGAGCTCTATCTGGGTCTCCCATAGGAGTTTAGGGAGTCAAAAACTGGGGCTATTCTCTGCTGCTTTTCCAGGTACATGAACAGGGAGCTGGATTGGAAGCAGAGCATATGAGATGTCAGGGTCGCAGGCAGTGACTTAACCCACTGTGCCATAGTGCTGGCCCCAACCTCTGCATTCTTAGGCTTCTCTGCTTCGAGATTTTCCCTGTGAAGGTTGCCTGTGATAGTCATCTAGAGCCAAACTCCCCCTCCCCAGAGCAGAAACAGCCCTTCTGTGAGAAGCTTCCTGGGGTGCTGAGCTCCTCCAGGAATTAGGAAACAGGTGGTGGGAAATTGCTAGAGTCTTGCTGAGTCAGCTTGAGAAAGATGCTGGGAAGAGTAATGAACTTCTGCTATGCTGAGGTCCTCTGCCAGCTGGGGCTAGAATAATATCTCCCACACATCTTGCTGGACCTCATTCCTCCCTCTCCCTAGCCAAGGAGTGAGGCCAGCTGCTCAAGAAGGCAATAACTCCAAAGGTCAGCCCAGCCTGGGGGCCTTGGCTTTCCTGTCCAGCCCTGGAGAGACTGGTTCTTGCTTTTCTTTCTTTATTTCTTTCTCTCTCTCTCTTTTTTTAAATCGGAAGGACAGATTTACATAGAGAAGGAGAGACAGAGAGAAAGATCTTCAATCCACTAATTCACTCCCCAAGTGGCCACAACAGCTGGAGCTGAGCTGATCTGAAGCCAGAAGCTTCTTCCAGGTCTCCCACATGGGTACAGGGTCCCAAGGCTTTGGGCCATTCTTTATTGCTTTCCCAGGCCACAAGCAGGAAGCTGGATGGGAAAAGTAGTCAGAACACAAACCAGCACCCATATGGGATGCTGGTGCTTACAAGGCAAGGATTTAGCCACTAGGTCACTGTGCTGGGCTCTCCTAATTCCATCTTGCTGCTGATGCAGACAGCAGGTCGCTGCCATCTTTGTGGGAGATCTGGACTGAGGTACTGGATTCTACTTCGTGGCTGGCCCAGACCACTTCAGACAAGGGAGCAAATCAGCAGATGGGAGCTCTATCTGTCTCTCTGCTTCTCAGACCATAAGAATAAATACACAGGATTGCTTTTTTTTAAAAGAACCCGCAATGTGCTTGATAGTACAAGGAGAATAACAAAAAGGGACTCCTGGCCTGTATCCAGGTGGAGAACTCCCAGGAGCTTAGGAATTCTAAACCCGAACCTGTTCAGCCAGACTAAAGATATAGGTGTGTGGGGGATGGGGAGCAGGGGTAGATTATCTCTGTATTTAACAGTTTGTTAGCACGTAGATATTTTTGCTGTATAGCAGGTGGGCCTTCTTCTGGTACTCCCCTTATCTCACTCACTCCGCCTTTTCTCACCCATCCCCAACAGTCAGAACATTTCAAGACGACATCACAGAAGGTGGCGCGCAAGTTCTGGTGGAAGAACATGAAGATGATCATTATCATTTGCGTGATTGTCTTCATCCTGGTCCTCATCATTGTGCTCCTAGCCACCGGCGTCATCCCCACTTAGGGAGCCCCTCCTCCACCATGGGTGCCAAGAGGGACCCTTGCTCCTGCTCTCCTCCATGGGAATGCTGCTTGGGTCCCCTCGGGGCCCCTCTGCCGCAGTATGACACCCTTCCCCCCCAGAGTACCTCGGTCCCCCAGAAGGAGATACCTGGGCTGTGGCTGTATTCCATTGGTCCTGAGAGCAAGTTGGAGAGACTTAGAGGGCTCAGTTTGGAAGCTGATGGTGGCTGGGAGTGGGGGCAATAAAGACCTTCCCATATCCGTGTGTGTGTGTGTGTGTGTGTGTGTGTGTGTGTGTGTGTTTATGGTGGCGTCCCTTTAGCCCAATCTAGGAACCCCTCTGGCTAAGGTTGTCCCATGATGGCCTCACATAGGCAGACAGATACTCTCTTTATTCTTCTCTATTCCATTCGTTGTCAGGGGTCTCAAGAAGAAGCATTTCCTATGGCTGGTGCAGTGGCTCAATTGGCTAATTCTCTACCTGTAAGTACTGGCATCCTGTACTGGTTCGTGTCCCAGCTCCTCCGCTTGCCATCAAGCTCTTAGCCTGTGGCCTGGGAAAGCAGCAGAGAATGGCCCAAAGCCTTGGGACCCTGTACCTGCATTGGAGACCCAGAAGAAATTCCTGGCCCCTGGCTTTGAATTGACTTAGCTCCAGCCATTGCATCAATTTGAGGAGTGAACCAGCAGATGGAAAATCTTTCTCTCTATCTCTCCTTCTTTCTGTAAAATCTACCTTTCCAATAAAAATAAATAAATCTAAAAAACAAACAAATAAAAAGCAATGCATTTTCTGGGGCCGGTGGAGAGTTCTTTGCATAGAGAACATTCAAAACCTGCACAGCACTGGAGGGCAGTGTGCAAGATTCTTAATTATCCCCCATGGATAGTGCCACTTTTTTCTTTAAAGATTTATTTATTATTGGAAAGTCAGATATACAGAGAGGAGGAGAGACCGAGAGGAAGATCTTCCGTCCAATGATTCACTCCCCAAGTGAGCGCAATGCCGATGATATGCAGATCCGAAGCCAGGATCCAGGAGCCTCTTCCGGGTCTCCCACACAGGTGCAGGGTCCCAAGGCTTTGGGCCGTCCTCGACTGCTTTCCCAGGCCATAAGCAGGGAGCTGGATGGGAAGTGGAGCTGCTGGGATTAGAACCGGCGCCCATATGGTATCCTGGGGCACGTTCAAGGCGAGGTCTTTAGCCGCTAGGCCATGCCGCTGGGCCCGCCACTTTCTTTTTTAAGGATTTATTATTATTTTTTTTAAGATTTATTTTCATTGGAATGGTAGATTTTGCAGAAAGGAAAGATCTTCCATCTGCTGGTGCACTCCCCAAATGGCTATAATGCTTGGAGCTGAACCAATCCTAAGCCAGGAGCTTCTTCTGGTTCTTCCACATGGTTGCAGGGTCCCAAGGCTTTGAACTATGCTCTACTGCTTTCCCAGGCCACAGCAGGGAGTTGGATGGAAAGTGGAGCAGCCAAAAAACAAATCTGTACCCTTATGCAATCCTGGTGCATGCAAGGCAAGGATTTAGCCATTCAGTCATGATACTGGGTTTTCTTTTTCTTTGAAAAGTAGAGTTAAAGAAGACAGAGAATGATCTTCCATCTACCAGTTCATTCCCTAATAACCGTAACAGCCAGAGCTGTGCCAATCTGAAGCCACAAATAGGGAGTTGGATGGGTAGTGGAGGAGCTGGGACACGAGCCAGTACCCATATAGGAATATGCCAGCATTATAGCTAAGGATTAGCATACTATGCCACCGTGCTGGCCCCTGCCACATCCTGTTTTATTCCTCTTCTGGAAGTGTTTGCTGAGGCCTGCAGCTTTCCTGGAATGAGTGCTTAGAATGTGGTGTGGGGCTTCCTGCCTCTGCTAGCACAGCCATCTCTCCTCTGTAGCCCGGCTGGTATCTAGACCCAAAAGCGATAACTTCTCTATTTCTGATGCTTCTGAGTGTCCCATTGGCCTTTGGCCTGCTCCTGCCCTTCTGAGTCTCTGCTGTCCTGAGGGGGCGAGCATCTCTTCCCCCAGCACACCCTGGCTGGGTACGGTCATTGTCACGGGACAGGGCCCCGGGGCCCTCCTTCCTGTCCACACACAATGAGCCTCTCTGTGTTGGAGCCCGCCTCCTCCCCACCAGGTCCCACGGTCATCACGGTCATTGCTGTTCTTCCCAGCGCCCAGTCTGCCTGGGCGTACGGGGAGGGTTCTAGCCACTTCCGTGCCTCTTGCCTCTGTAGGCTTTCCAGAAATGCAAACAGCCTGATGTTGGAAGTCAATGTAGGTGGGGTAGGCTGAGCAGACGGGACTAGAGACTACACTAGGCAGTCCAGGCCTGCAGTTCTGCTCCTAATCTGAGCAAGAACAGGGGTTCAAGTGGGGTGGGTTTGGCCAGCCTCTCTCTCTTTCTCCCTCTCTCTCTCCTGCTCCCTCCCAAGCCCTAGATCCAAAGAACTGAGGGAAAGATTGAAGAGGCCTGTCCAGGGTAGGGGTGGGCTCTGTGCTCAGCCAGGTGGGCTGTCATTAAGATGCTGGTGGTGGGGAGAAAAGTGTTGGTGACATCTCTGCAGCGGGGGGAAGAGGACAGGATGGACAGGTAGTCTCAGCTCTGGAAGGCTCCAGAGTAGTGGCAGGCAGCCGCTTCCCCATCCGAGGATGAGGGAGCGGGGATGCACCAGGGTAGAGATGCACTTGCTGTGGGTGTGAGGACAAGAACACAAAGTCAGAACCTTCCCAGGAGGGTCTTTTTTCTAAGTTGATGTGAAATTCATAGGACTTGGGGTTACCATTTCTTCTTCCTCTTTTTTTTTTTTTTTTTAATGTTAAAGGGATCCTGGCAGAGAGGAGAGAAAGATAGAGAGATTCCCATTTGAAGTTGATTCCCCCAAATAGCTGCAACAGCTGGAGCTGGGCTGAGCTGAAGCCGGGAGCTTCTTCCCAGTCTCCCACATGAGTGCAAAGTCCCAAGATTTGATTCTCCTCCTCTGCCTTCCCAGGACATAAGCAGGAAGCTGGATGAGAAGTGGAACAACAGAGACTTAAACTCCCTCTTGTGTAGAATGCACACACCTTAGGCAGTGGCTTTACCTGCTATACCACACTGCTGTCCATTTCAGTGGCAAGGTACTGTGAAAGCATTGCCCCAGATAACCGCATCCATGAACAGGGTTGCCTGGGTTTAGGTTCTGGCTCTGCTTCCCATTCTAACTTCCTGTTAATGCAGACCCTGGGCAAGGGGTTGGGGATTGGAGAGGGTGATAAAGCCTCAAGTGGTTGGATCCTGGCCCTTCACATGGGAGACCCAGAATGAGCTCCTGGTTCTTGACTTCACTGTGGCTGTTTGGGGGTGGGGAGAGTGAAACAGCTGAAGAGCATTTCTTTCTGATGCTTTGCCTTTCAAATAAATTGTCAATAACAATCGAAAAGGTGCCTGATGCAGTGACTGAATGGGCTGATCCTCACCTTGCATGCACTGGGATCCCGTATGGGTGTTGGTTCGTGTCCCAGCTGCTCCACTTCCCATGTAACTCCCTGCTTGTGGCCTGGGAAAGCAGCAGAGGATGGGCCAAAGCGTTGGGATCCTGCACACATGTGAGAGACCTGGAAGAAGCTCACCTTTAGTCATTTGGGCCACTGCCTTTGTCTCTCCTTCTCCTTTCCAAGAAAAATAAATAAGTCTTTAAAAATTTTTTTTGAAAAGGAATATCATGCTTCAAGCATCACCTTTATTTATTTAATTTCAAAACTTTGTCCGGGAGGATCTGCTTGGGCTAGGAGTGAGAAGTGACCACTCAGGGCACCCTCAGCAAACCAGCAGGGTCTGAGAAGACTACCCTACAGATGCTTGTTGAAAAAAATGGATGAGCCCTCCCCAGCTCATCTACTGTACAATGCTGACCCTCGAGATGGGCCGACTCCACACGCCCAGCTCACCCACTGGGCCAGGAGGCATGTTCAACCTCGCACCGGGCAGCTCAGTATCCCCTTAAACAACCAGGCTGAGGTGTCCCTCGAAATCGGGCGCCGGCGGCCCGGCAGGAGGCGCCCCACGGACCCGGGTCGCTGTCGTGGGCCGCTTTCGGTTTGCCCGGGTCTCGGTCGCAGCTCGCGGAAGGCGCGCCCCCCGCCCTCGGCTGCCCGGCCCCGCCTCTCCGCTTCCTCCCGGGCTGCTGGCACCGGCGCCGCTTGGCGGGCAGAGAGCCGGGCGCGGGCGAGGCGGCGGCAGCGGCGGCGATGGTGAGCACCCGGCTGCACGGGCGGGCGAGGGGCCCCGGGGCCCTGACGGCGTGAGGGTGGGTGCCGGGCGACTTGGGTTCGAAGTCCGGGAACGGCGGGGGAATGGCTGGGAGCGTCTTCCTGGGCGCATGGGCTCGGACCCGATGAGTGACTGGTGGCGCCCAGCGGGACCGGAGCCACAGGTTTCCACGGCTGGCGCGCATCCTGGGAAGGAAAAAGGGGGCGTGCGTCCCATCGGGTGCCCCACTCCCCGCGATGCAAGCAAGGTTCACGCTTGCCTTCGCCCTAGAGCCGAGTAGCCGAGCACAGGCTTTGGAGTTAGACCTGGGATCCTGACTCGGTGACCTCGGGGCAAGTCACTTGACCTCCCTCCGAACGTGTTTTTCCGCGTTTGAGAAGTGGGGTCAGCAATCACTGCCTTGTTGGGAGCTCTGGCCCAGACCTGCCTGGCACCCAATCCACTGCTAAGGAGTAGGTAATGCCATGACCTCTTGGCCCTTCTCTTAGCCGGGAGGAGCCAAGCCTGGCCCGGGAGCTGGAAATCTGAGCAGACTGACACAGAGATGGAGGTTGTTCCAGCCCCTGGGCAGGTTGGTGCAGGACAGAGTCCCTCCTCCCCACCCCTCAGGGGAAGAAACAAGTTTATGTAAAGTTCCACTGAAGTTATCAAGCCTGTCTCAGCCCAGACCCCCTCCTAACCTCTACTTAGTGACACATTCCCCAGTTGAGTCACCCCCAATCTGGCACTGTCCAATCTTGCCAAGGCTTGAGGTGTCAGGGACAGCTGGTGCCATTCCACCTACTGCCCATTCCAGCCCTGGTTTCTGGGAAGGTGGACCAGGCAGGAAGCAGGCTTGGTGCTTACAATTTCTGCTGTTGGAGAAGTTGGCACACTTTGTGATGGATATGGTCTGCCTAGGGGTCCTGATGCCTTCATGGCCTGGTCTCCAGGGGACCCAAGGCAGGAAGAGGAAGTGAGGCAGGAAGGTAGCACTGAGCTCAGAGGCCAAGCCAGGAAACTGAGGGAGGCTCTGAGAACAGAGCCAGAGCCCAGAGCACACTCCTGAGCATGTTGGAGGAGGGATCGGGCAGAGCTGGGGTTAGTTTTTAAAGTGAATCTTAGCTCCCAAGTTGAAGAGAAAACTCCGGAGTGGAGACAGTTTGCCAGGGGAGGCTAAAAAGGTTTTTTTTTTTTTTTAAAGATTTATTTTATTTTTATTGGAAAGGCAGATATACAGAGAGGAGAGACAGAGAGGAAGATCTTCCATCCGATGATGAGTGCAACAGTCGATGCTATGCCGATCCGAAGCCAGGAGCCTCTTCCGGGTCTCCCACGCGGGTGCAGGGTCCCAAGGCTTTGGGCCATCCTCGACTGCTTTCCCAGGCCACAAGCAGGGAGCTGGATGGGAAGTGGGGCTGCCGGGATTAGAACTGGCGCCCATATGGGATCCTGGTGCATTCACGGCGAGGACCTTAACCACTTGCGCCATCGCGCCGGGCCCAAGGTTAAAAAGTTTTTTAAAGGATGCTAACAGATCATGGATTAGAGTCTGGGGACTCTACACAGTGTTTCAGGATGCGTAGGGATTGCTTCCAGGGCACCCGTGGATACCAGACTTACAGGTGCTCATGTCCCTTCTGGGAAACGGTGTGGTATTTGTATATAACCCACACAGTCAGTCCTCTGCAGGGTTCCGTTGTCTGTAGATATCTGAATCACTTCTCAGTCTTTTGGTTACTATCAAGTGTAGATGCTTGAGAAAACCTAATCCAATGCATATACTGCATTGTTTAGGGATTAAGATGACAAGGGGGGCCCCGGTGCAGTGGCGTAGTGGTTAAGGTCCTTGCCTTGAATATGCTGGGGTCTCATATGGGCACCGGTTCTAGTCCCGGCAGCTCCACTTCCCCTCCAGCTCCCTGCTTGTGACCTGGGAAAGCGGTTGAGAATGGCCCAGGGCTTTGGGACCCTGCACCCATGTGGAAGACCCAGAGGAAGCTCCTGGCTCCTGGCTTTGGATTGGCTCAGCACCAGCCATTGTGGTCACTTGGGGAGTGGACCATCAGATGGAGGATCTTCCTCTCTGTCTCTCCTCCTCTCTGTATGTCCACCTTTCCAATAAAAATAAATAAAATCTAAAAAAAAAAAGATGACAAGGGGAAAATCTGTATGTGTTTGAGAGATGCCACCCCCCCCAATATTCTCCACCTGCACTAGTTGAGTATCAACCATTTTTTCTGTCCCACCCTACTGCCTCCCAGCCCCACCCTGTCCTTCTACTCGTCGCTTTATTTCAAAGACTTATTTATTTTTATTTGAAAGGCATATTTACAGTAAGAAGGAGAGACAGACGTCTTCCAGTCTTTGATTCACTCCCCAAATGGCTACAACAGCCAGAGCTAAGCTAATCCAAAGTCAAGAGCCTCCAATGGGTCTCCCATGGGGTGCAGGGTGCCAAGGCTTTGGGCCGTTCTCTACTACTTTTGCAGGCTGCATATAGGGAGCTGGAAGTGGAGCATTTGGGACAGGAACCAGTGCCCATAGGTGCTGCTGGTGCTGCAGGAAGAGGATTAGCCTGTTGCACCACCGCGTAGACCCCACTTCTGTCCCTCTTCTGCCCGAAGCTCTTTACCTTTTTTCCCCTCCCCGGTCCTTCTTCCTTTCTTGCTTTTCTCTCCTGTAACTCATTCATGCAGCAATGATTTCATGGGCATTTCCTTGTGCCACACGTGAGGGCAGCCCTAAGGGATCAGTAGGGCCAAAGCAGTGCAGGAAAGGCAGAGGGCAAAGAGGAATTACTTGCATTCATTCTCCAATACATGGGCCTCACTTCGAAGAATTTGTGTCTGGAGCCACAGACACATGAGCATCAGAAGATGTGGTCATTTTCAGCCGGCCAGCAGCACCCATGATCCTCCCATTATCTGTGCCTAATTTAGCAAGTAGCTAAGGTGCTGAACCCAGGAATCTGTGCAGGTTCCACTCCCAGGACTTCTACTGGCTGTGATGGTGGACAGGTGATTTAATATCTCTGCCCCCAACGTTTCTTGTAGAGGTAGGACAATGATCATTGTGAGGAATACACGAGATGGGGCACATGAACAGCCAGCAGCACAGTGCCTAGCCGGGGAACCTGCTGATGGAACGGTGGCTGTCAGGACAGAAGATGTCAAACCTTGCCAACAGCCTGTAGTACCTGATGTAAAGAAACTAGATGCTGCTTCTCAGAGGCCATGGAGGGTTCTGGATTTAAGATCTAAGAGGTTTTGCTGAGCACAAAGATGGACAGGGGAAGAAGTTAGGGATGTGTGGGCTACACCGACATGAATGGCTATTACTTATTAAGCATGTAGTATGTAGCAACCATTATGCTAAGCATTTTGTTTACAATCTGTCACATAATTCTTGGCTAATATTATGAGGCAGGTGTTGCTAGTTGCACCCCTTTACAGATGAGGGAAGTGGAGTGCTAGGAAGGTCATGCCCTCAGTGTCTGCTCCAGTGCTGGTGAATGGCAGAGGCAGGATCTCAACACACAGAGGAATGTATTGCAGGGCCTCAGCTGAGTGCCCACCCAGGAAGGTGATGATAGCCTGGCACCTGCCTAGTGCCATCTGACGACACTGGAACGGGAGAGAGGGAATGGCAGGGGGAGTTTGGAGAGTTGTGTTTTCAGAGACGGAACCAAGAGTGTGGAGCCCAGAGAAGCCTGCCTGGAGACATGTACATCATGAGAAGCTGCCCTGTGCAGAGGGCAAAAGTCTGTCAATAACATTTCCTGTGCAGCTATTACCCTCTATGTGACAACAAGGATTCCCATTACCCATGGTTCCAAACCGCAAGCCCGAGGCAAGTGTTGTGGCATAGCAAGTTATAGGATGCCCACGTCCCATATAGCTAGTGTTGCTGCGAGTCCAGGCTGTTCCACTTCCAGCTCAGCTTGGATGGAGTTCCAGGCAGCTTCCTATATCAGCCCTGGTGCTGACAGCATTTGGGAAATGAACCAGCAGATGAAGATCTCTCTTTCTGTTTGTTTCTCCCTTCCTTAAAACATTTATTTATTTGAAAGAGTTACAGATGGGGAGAGTGGCTAAAGTCCTCGCCTTGCATGCACCAGGATCCCATATGAGCGCAGTTTTGTGTCCCAGCTGCTCCACTTCCCTTCTAGTTCCCTGCCTGTGGCCTAGGAAAGCAGTCGAGGATGGCCCAAAGCCTTGGGACCCTGCACCCATACAGGAGACCTGGAGGAGGAGGTTCGTCCTGGCTTCGGATCAGCTTAGCTTTGGCTATTGCAGCCGCTTGGAGAGTGAACCAGCAGATGGAAGATCTTTCTTTTGGTATCTTCTTCTGTCTGTACATTTGACTTTCCAATAAAATTTTAAAAATCTGACTTTCCAATAAAATTTTTAAAAAGAAGGAGTTACAGGGAGGTTAGGGGAAAGACAAAATAAAAGAGAGATCTTTCATTTACTGATTCACTCCTCAAAAGGCTGAGATGATCAGGGCTGGGCCAAAGCCAAAACCAAGAAAAGGAAATCCATCCAAGTCATTTGCCATGTGAGTTGCAGGGACCCAAGTTTTTGGACCATCTTTGCTTGCTCATCTAGGTACATTAGGAGAGAGGTGGATCAGAAGTCGTAGAGGAGCTAGGACTTCCACCAGAGCTCCTATGGGATGCTGGTGTCACAGGTGGCAGCTTAATTTGCTGCATTACACTGTCAGCCCCTGCTCTGCCTTTCAAGTAGATGAAAATTAATAAAACAAATCAACAAAACCCCCTCAAGCTTTGTGGGTCCCTGGTAGTGGCTAGAAGTGCTTCTCTCTTACCCACCTTTCTCTGTTTGCCCCGGGTGCCTGGTAGGCATCTGCTCACACTCTGGCTTTTGGCACTGCTCCCTAGCTTCTCAGTTGGCTTCTCTGCTCTGACTTTTCTCATTTCCTTCTGTGCCTGCCCAGCACCAATGGGGAAATCTTCTCAAAGTGCTTTTCCAGTGCTGCCTTGGCTCCAAACCCTGCACAGCGCCCGGGTTATCACACGCTCCAAGCCAGCCTACTCTGCTGGACTTTTACTGTTTTCTCCAGCCTCACTCTGCCCTGTCACCATACCCTCTGTCCAGTTCATCCCTGTCGGGGGTGTCCCCCAGCTCCATCCCATCCTTCCAGGGGTCCCCAATGGCATTTCTACCTCTACCCTTTGTGGGTTGCCACAACACTTCCTGCTGGTAAACCACAGGGTTAACTGTTTACTTTTGTGTGGTTGGATCATATGTGTCTCTTCCCCAGCCGGAGAGCAAGAAAGACAGATCTCCTTTAAAACACACACTGTTGTTCAAAACACAACTGTCCCCCATCAGGCTGAGTTATACTGCAGCAGACGACAGCATGGCCCAAGCCTTCCACCTTGTCTAGTGCCAGCAGACACCTGTGCACACTGACTGAGTGGGCCCAGGAGGGGCAGCCTGAGAACTCGAAGGGTTTCCTGGAGCAAATGTGTTCTTTGAGGCCTGAGTGCCCCTTGGCTGTGGCCAGTTATGGCTTGGCAGTGGCCAGCCTGCTCCAGATGACAGTGGGAGACCCACAGCCAGCTTTCTCACAGGACGAGAATGTGACCCCACAGGACCCCTTGCTGGAGAACAAGAGCAACAGCTGTCACATGCAGAATAGAAAAAAAAAAATGCTGTCCCCCAGCCCACCATTCTCCAACAAAGATTCATTGCTGGTTCCCCAGTGTTTGCCTTGGACTGTTGGAATGTGGGGGAGTTCAAAGGGCCAGATGATGGAACCTTGGGGAGTAATACAGCAGTCAGAGCAGAGAGGGTGGCTGGCTCTGGGCCAGGGAGAGTGAGGGCAGTTTCCTTGCCCTCTTCATCCTTCCTCTGCACCCTCCAGCGATGGCTTCCCCCCAACCCCCGAGAACCCCTCCCCCTCCCCCACCAGGGCTTTGCCTGACCCCACTTGAAACAGGCTGTTTTTCTGGCTCATGAGTAAATATTGACCTATCTGGGTTTCAGATGCCCGCCCCTCAAAATTCCTGCTGGGCTCGATAAACACACTGGGAGAACATCTCTTGGCCATGAGAGTTGCTCTTGGCCGTGACACAGGTGACCCACTGACTGAGTCCTTGTGATAGTCAGCGTTCTGCTGGTCCATCTCCCCAGCCCTCCCTGCATCCTTCCCGTACAGGATGGTGGTTGATGAAGGTAGGGCCCTGCTCCCCACCCTCTCCCCTGGCAGCCTGGGATCCATTTGGAGATAGGAATCATCTACTGGGAATGCTCTGGAGGCTGCATGCAAGGCAGCTGCCTGGACTCCGGAAGAAAGATTCTTGCCCAAGTGGGAGGGGTCCTCAGTGACCACACCAGATCCTTTCCAGCACTGAAGTTTTCTGCTTTTGAGCAGGAATTTGGTTGAGTGCCGAAACGTGTGCTGCAGCAATGGCTTTGTTGGCTGGCAGGAAAGGAAGCTTAACTGATACTCTGCTGGGAGGAGGTGACCACAGGGATGGGTAGTCGCGGCTGAGGGCAGGAACTGCTGCGCTGATCTGTTCATATTCATCTTGCTGACATGTGCCTGCACTTGCCTCTTGTCTTGGGTCTCTGAGCACAGGCCGATCCCAGTGCCTATCTCACTCGCTTACCCAGACTTCCTCTTTCCCCTAAACCCTTAACTGCTCCAATAACTTGAAGCAGCCTTCCCTTCCCAGTCCTCTGAAAGGAACTGAATTTCTGCTAGGTGAGGCTACTGACTGCACTGCTAAAACCAAGGATTGTTTTCAGCATGGTGAGTTGGACCTTGCTGAAGACTGGCTGGCTGGAAGGCTGGAGGCCAGAGACCAGGATGGCGGAGGCTCCTGGGCAGACAGGAAGTGACTGAGGCCAACTGAGGCGGGCAGTGGGCGCCTGACCAAGAGGTAGCACTGGCTAGACCAGTCAAAGACCCTCAGGAAGAAGATCTGAGCTACACAGTTTGGAAGCAGCCGAGGGTTAGGCAAGGCTAATTCGTCCTGGTCCCGTATCACTTTGGGGGCCCAAGGGGTGGGTTTTCTCTCTCTGGCTTTCAGCCAAGTGCTTGGTTCCAAGTTCTTTGCCACCTCTTGTGGTCAGCTGGAAGCCACGGGGCAGGTACTTTGTGGGAAGGTGGAGTCTTGGGAAGCTGAGGATCCTAGTCTGACTTCTGTCCTGCCTAATCGTCAGGGGGAGGAGCCTGTCAGACCAAAGGTGAGCTGCAGGGTCAGGCGTGGTGGTGCAGCACGTGAAGCTGCTGCTTGGGATTTCTGTGTCCCATGTGGGAGCACCATTTGATGTCCTGGTGATTTCGCTTCTCATCTAGCTCCCTGCTAATGCACATGGGAGGCAAGGGCTGGTGGCTTAAGTACTCAGGCTCCTGCTACCCACTTGGGAGACTCCTAGATGGAGTTCCTGGTTCCTGGCTTCAGCCCTGGCCCATCCCTGATTATTGCTTCTCCATCTGCTGGTTCACTTCCCAAATCTGAAGCCAAATGAGGAGCCGCCTCCTCATCCATGTGGGTACAGGGGCCCAAGGACTTCAGCCATTCTCCACTGCTTTCCCTGGCCATAATCAGGGAGCTGGATTGGAAGTAGAGCAGCTGGGAGCATAGCTGGTGGCCATTTGGTATGCTGTCACTGCAAGGTGGAGGACCAGCCTGTTGAGTCACTGCACCAGTCCCTTGAAATGTTATTAAATAATAATAATAAAAAAGAGGGAAAAAATTGTAGAAAAGTTGAGCTATGTCTACCCAGGCAAGCCTTCATGTGTGCTCCACACACACCATGTCATTATACAAATAGTGCCATTGCTCATATGCTGTACCCACACACAGTTGGGCAAAGGACTGTAGGTTTCAGGGCCCGGTGAGGGGCCTCCTGCAGCCCTGACCTGGGGCTTGGTGCCCAGGCAGGGAAAGAGTTGGAGCGATGCCAGCGGCAGGCTGAAGAGGTGACAGAAATCATGCTCAACAACTTCGACAAGGTCCTGGAGCGTGACGGGAAGCTGGCGGAGCTGGAGCAGCGGTCGGACCAACTGCTGGACATGGTGTGAAGCTCATGGAGCAGGGGATGGAGGGAGGGGAGGGAATGCTCAGGTCCTCCCTGGGATATCTGGACCCTTGGTGGTGGGGGAGCTGAGGCTGATTCGGGCTAGTGTGAGGCTTTGGGGTTCCCTGAGGCACTCCTAGTGGGTGTTAAATGCACAAGGTTCAGAAAGGAAGGCATTCTGGATTTGAAGCTTTGGTTCTTCCTAAGGGTGGAAGAACCACGTTGTTTCCTGGAGGGGGATAAGCCGGTAGGGCAGAGGGTCAAGGAAGGATTAGTTACAGCAGTGCCTGAGACCAAGAGTCAGGTCCTGGAGGTTCTGGGTGGATTGTGGAAGAGGGGAGCAGAAAGGATGGGGAATCCTGGGGAGGAGCCTGGGAGGAGCTAGCTCAGAAGCCACCCAACCAATGCTAACTCCCACCCCATGGCTGGGTGTGTCCACAGAGCTCTGCCTTCAGCAAGACAACCAAGACCTTGGCCCAGAAGAAGCGCTGGGAGAATGCCCGATGCCGGATCTACCTGGGGCTGGCCGTGGCCCTCAGCCTGCTCGTCATCCTCATTGTACTGCTGGCTGTCTTTCTCCCACAGAGCAGTAGTGCCCCACAAACCCAGGAAGAAGACCGAGTCTCAGGATCTGGGGAATGACCTAGCTGGGCCTGCGAGAGAGGCTGAAAGAGCTGCACATGCTGGCTCTGGTCTCCAGAGAACCTAGGTGTTTTCACTCCTGTCTGAGCCACTTCCATGAGTGCCAAAGGATGTGCATCTTTGCATCTCCCACCAAGCCACAGACTGGTCCTCAGGGGCAGCCTTCTGCACTGGCTGTGCCATGCCAGCCCCACCTGGAGCTTAGTAAAAGCTGCTGTTTGATTCAAAGTGACGGTGTATGTGTCTGAAGCTCCCCAGGTCTGCAAATCCTACTTTGCTTCTACCCTTGGGGCTGCTTAGAAGGCCTCTCTGCCAAAAGGCTCCACCCCACCCCTCCACTTCCTGCTGCTTTGCTTGATTCAACCTTACACAGACAGATGGGCATGGGTGTGAAGACACAGCAGCCCCCAAAACCTGACCCTTGAACCAGTCCTCCCCTTTGGAGCCTGCTTCCTCTGAGAATGGAATTTTTCGGTGTTTTTGACATCTGCAGTGGGGGAGGGGGGAGTGCTTAGAGGATCTCAGTAGGATTCTAGAAGGGATGCCAAAGAGGAAAGGGCTTCTGTTTTGCCTGAAACTCTCACCCTCAGCCAGACGTTTTTTCCCCCCATTTCTCCAGTTTCCCTCCCCTCCAGATTGCAGATGCTCGGGTCTCCTGGGGTGCTGATAATGCAGGGTACAAAGTATGGCCAGCAGAGATGGCCCAAACAAGAAACAAGCAGAGCAACCGCTGCCTGGGCTACTTATCTACGGTTCTAACTCAGAAGTGTCAGAGGCAAAGGGAATTCAGAGTCAGGTGTGTGAAATAAACATGTTCCTTCCTCAGGAGGATGAGGGTTACCAACAGGCACCAGAACCAGCCCTGGCAGTGGGGTGGAGCTTTATCCAGGGCAGAGGTCACTGCTTTCACCGTCCTGCGAGGCCACGCCCTTGGCCTTGCTATCGGTCAGGCCCGTGTGATGTTGAAGTCACAGCTGTGACTCAGTTTTTATAGACATGAAAAGGACACAAGGGTGTGTAGCTCCAGGACTATTGGGAAAAGTCTCTGATGTGCTGTGGAAAAGAAGCTATCAATCCTGCTGTGTCCCGAAGCTAACCAGGAGCTGTCCCAGTCCCTGAGACCACCTTGCTTGTACTGCAGATCCTGGAAATCAGCATCTCCAAGGGCACCAGATCCCGGACTTGCTTTCTAAAGCCCCACCTCTCCTTCCCCTGGGGGGAGAGGGCTTTTGTTCCAGTCACCAGTCACACTGATGGCGGGGATCCGGAGAGGAGGTTGAGCGATGGGGTGAAGGAGGCAGGCAGAAACCACGAACAGGTGAAGCGGCAGGGCAGGGACCTAGCGGCTCTCGGCGTGGTGGTCTGCCCCACCCTGTATTATCAGACCTAACACACAGGAGGGGCGCAGGCCTTGAAAGGCCCTGGCGCGGGCTGCTGGAGGCATCACCCGAGCGCGGCCGGCACAGGGGCCCGGAGGAGGCCTGGGTAGAGCGGCAGCCAGAGCCCCGACACCAGCCAGGCTCGTGGAACTCTAGGCTGGCGGCCGACGCCCCGGCTCCCCGCTTTTCCCGAGTGTTCGCAGCTTCAGAGCCGACTGAGGATCCTCACACTCAGACGCTCGGCATTCCAGGGCACCACGGCCGCGACCACGCCAGAAATTCCCGGGAATTTTTCTGGTCTCGAGTTCCAAAACACTAGCGAAGCACCCCCGCTTTCAGCCATTGGCTTTAGTGTTTGGTCATCTGATTGATGCGTTCCAATGAAAGGCAGCCAAATTACGACTTCCGGTTCCTGGTCATTCAATGAATCACTATGCCCGCCCCTTAGATACTCTCATTGGCCAGCCTTCCCCAATTGGCCATCTTATTGGCCAGCACGGTGAGGTAGCTATCGAGCGGGGGCCGAACGCTGTGTCAGACAGAGAAACAGCCATGGCGTCCTACTTTGACGAGCACAACTGCGAGCCGTTGGACCCGGAACGGGAGACCCGAACCAACATGTTGTTGGAGCTCGCCAGGTGGGTGCGCAGTGCTCGGGGGAGGGGTGAGTCCAGGCAGTAGGTTTTGGGCGGGAGCTTTCTAGAGAAGGAGGACTAGCTGGGGTGGAAGAGAGGAATAATCTGGATTATTAATTGGGTGATGAGACTGGGGAGTGGCAGGGGAGGCCGGGGCTGGTTTTTTTCTGCACGGCCTCGGGACCAGGAGGCTAAAGGGAGACGAGCTGGAGAATGGTAGGGAGCCAGCGGTTGGGAGATGGAGGTGAGTCGTGGCAGTAGCACGCCCTTCCAGTTTACAATCTGGCTCCACCAGTTAGTTCCTGCGTGGCCCGACGTTTGTCTGTTATCTGAGTGCAAAAGGGGAATGAATGGTGTGTGTACTGGAGTTGTCAGAGGGCAGCTCTGACCTGTTTGCCTTCGTGCTTTGTAGCTAGTTAGCACCTCCTAAGGGTAGTTGGTTGGTATTACTGCTGGCTGGGGAGGGCTTCTATCTGTTCTTGCTCAGTAGGGGATAGGGATGGGGCAAAGAGGAGCTCTGGTTTTCCTCCGCGCTGACCTCGCACCCTCCTCCCTAGGTCACTTTTCAATCGGATGGATTTTGAGGACTTGGGGTTGATAATGGATTGGGATCACCACCTGCCCCCACCAGCCGCCAAGGCTGTCGTGGAAAACCTCCCCCGGACAGTCATCAGGGGCTCTCAGGCTGGTGAGGCCACTCATTCCTTTTGTTGTTTGGGGCAAACCTGCCCCGCCTCCCTTCCTGGAGCCAGGGCAGGCCTGGGCCATGACTATCCCTCCAGGAATGGGAGCTGGGAGGTTGGGCTCTTGGCAGCTCTTCTGATCCACGCTCCCTCCTAAAGAGCTCAAGTGCCCCGTGTGTCTTTTGGAATTTGAGGAGGAGGAGACCGCCATTGAGATGCCTTGTCACCATCTCTTCCATGCCAACTGCATCCTGCCCTGGCTAAGCAAGGTACTGGTTTCTTTTCTTCCAGCCTTCACCTTACTCCTGGGACCAGTTCTCAAACTCTGCCCTTCCAAATGGCTGAGAGATCAAAGAAGGGTGGGAGGTGGGGTTGGTCTGCCCACTGGAACAAACAACACCCTGTCTTTCCCAGACAAACTCCTGCCCCCTGTGCCGCCATGAGCTGCCCACTGATGATGATGCTTATGAGGAGCACAGAAGAGATAAGGTAAGAGTGGGAATGGGCTCTGTGGAGTTCCTGTCCTCACAGCTCCCACCTGGGCAGGCTCTGGCACTGACTGCCTTCCCCTGGAACTTTGCTTAGAGCCAACTCCTGCCCCGCCCCTGCCATTTGGGCCTTCAAGTTGGGGGCCTACAGAGTGTGCCCTCTCTCTTGCAGGCTCGAAAGCAGCAGCAACAGCACCGACTGGAGTACCTCCACGGAGCCATGTACACGTGAGGTGGCTGGGATTACACGCCGGCTGGCAGGCCACCGCAGCTGCCTCTTGCACCTTGAGTCCTCATTAAAGGTTTCGTTATGCACCCTGCCACTGCGTTGCTCACAGGCTGCGTGCAGGGGCTTTGCAAAATCCTCTGCCAGGCTCCTGGTGCTATTGGCAAAGGTTGGTCCTGAACCTCTGAAGGGACCTGCCTGCACTGAGGGCAAGTGGAGCCCAAGTCCAACACCTTAGCCACCTGACCAGCCAGGACTGGAGCATAAGTGTTCATGGTTCAAAGGCAAGGACATGCAGGATTTGGCACCCAGTGGTTATTCACAACTGATAAACCAGCCTCCATGCCCCTTCCACAGAACCTTGGAACTTTTAGTTAATATTGGAATCCTACAAGTTATTCTGAGCTCCATTGAGAAAATTGCTTTTAACATTTAAAAGTTGAACTGCTCTCCCCTGTCCCCGCCTTCCCCATTCCTCCTTTACCAAAGACTCAAAGTTCAAATTAGATTCTTAGGGGGAAGAAGTGTGTGATGGTCAGACCAGGTCAGAAAGCATCCAGTTCCTTCTAGGCTACTGGCTCGTTTTTGGCAGTCCCGCTGTTAAAGAGGAGTGGGCTGAACTCAGGACACTCTCTGGGGCAGGAGTTTCCTCCCATCCTTTGCTTAGGGAAAGCCATTCTGGATCTGGGCCTTCCCTGGGTTCTCCAGAACAGACTACAAAGATGCAAATTAGAGTTCTTTTTAATAGGTATAAAAAAAAAGTACTAAAATACCCACGTGGTTCTGCTGTGTTATTTGCCTTAAAGGAAGTGAGAGGCAGAGTGAAGAATCCCAGTGTAGCTCAGTGGGCCCAGAGTGGGCTTTCCCATCCAACTAAGATGTGCCCCAACCCCCACTAGACCTTAATCCCCTCCCCACCAACCTGTTGGTCCTAGCCCCTCCCCGATTCCTGCAGCAGAAACCCCCAGTGATCTGGCTCGGGCACTGGAGGTAGAAGGCACCTGAAGGGCTGGCTGGGTGAGTGAGGACAGGTGATCTTTCAACACAGAACAATGTCTCCTTGGTGTGGGGGAGCAGGTCCTGCAGGTGAGGCAGCCAGCAGGGACTGGTCCTCTATGGCACAGGTAGATGCGGGCTGCCCACTTCTCCGCAAGTGAGGAGCCCAGATCCTGACAGAATACTTTTCCCCCAAAAAAGGGTACAAAATAAATGCAGGGAATGGGGCAGGGGTGTTGCTGCGGAGGCTAGGCCAGCCACCCTCCTCAGGCTTCAGATCATGGCAATGCTCTCGGGGGCGCAGTTGAGGTGGGTGGAGGTGCTGCTGCTCCCGGAGGACTTGCAGGCCCGGCCAGGGGCAGGCTGCAGCGCAGCCACCAGTGTGTCTGAGGAGATGGCCCCGAACTCATAACTGAAGGTGCCATAGAAAATGAGGATATCGATGACGAATACCCACTCACACAGGGCCGCCCCATGCTGCAGCTGCGAGCTTTCGTGGACAAAGAAGACACCACCTGCAGTGAGGCTAAGGAAGCAATCAGGAGTATGTGCGGGTGGCTGGCCACGCCCCTGGTCCAGGCCCATCACAGATAACTAGGCTGAGGCAAGGAAGGGCAGGCTCAGGTAGCACCTTTTCCTGGAGGGTGGGGCAGAAATGAGCAAGCAGGAGCTGGCACCCAGCCTCCCCCTGCTCAACTCCACACCCCTGTCTGGGATGGGAGAAGGGCTGAGCTAGAGGAGAAGGACTGGCTGCCCAGTCCTGGAAGGATACTGAGGACCAGGGTGATGAAGGCGATGACAGCCAGCACACTTCGCAGGTGGGCCACAGCCAGGTCCAGGGGCGTGGCAGCCCCGTGGTAGGAGAGGGCACAGTGCAGGCACACAAACAGCAACCCCGCGGGGAAGGCCACGCCAGCGCCAACGTAGTGCAGAGACTTGGCATGATCCACCTGCTCCCAGACACAGGGACTAGTCTGTCAGGTGGCCCCACCACTCCACCTTCACTTCCCCCTCTCCCTCCCCATTGCCTTCCTCAGCCCCCAGCTTTTAGGTGCTATGGCTGCCACCACTCCTGCAGGCAGCCAGGCCCTATGGGGAGGATGGGGGGGGGGGGTTCAAGATTCAGGTGAGGTGGACAAGAGGGCACCTGAAAGTTGCCGACCACCACAAGGCCCGCGGCGTTGGTGCAGCCCGTGATGAGCGCAGTGGTGTTAACCCAGGAGTGCCGGTTCTGTTCTAGGAGCTGCCCGTAGCGCAAAAGGCAGATGAGGGCCACTGCAGGAGGAGAGCAAGGCTGGGGCTGGCTCTGAATTCTTCTCCCAGGCCCACCCACCCCCAGCCTGCCAGCTGCCCCCACCACGCCTCCCCAAGTTCTGGAACTTTTTTTTTTGCCCTGGGGGCTAGAAGGCAGTGGAGAGGCCTGTGGTGAACTGAATTTGCTCCGGGACCTGGGGCCTGCAGAGGATGCAAGATGTGGGCTGTGTGGTGTGGGCTGTGTGGGAGTTGGCCTTTGGCCTTCAAGGAATGGGCAGGAGAGAGATAGAGAGAAGTTGCCCCTATTGCCTTAGCCCTTGGTGGGGAGGGGTGAGCTGGAGGAGGGCTTCCTGGGGGAGGGAGGCTTGTGCAAGGTGGGACTTCGGGGCCAACTCACCCATGAAAGCACCCATGTTGCCAATGAGGCTGAAGAGGCAGCTCTCTGGGGGATATGTGCCGCACTTGCTGAGGGAGGGGCAAGGGCAGAGTGAGAGGGGTTGTCCCAGAGGAGCACCGCTTGGGCCCAGCAGTGCTCCCCTTGCCTTCCGGGCACCTGTTCATTTGCAGGCAAGGCACTGCTTTAGGAACAAGGCCTGTGTTCCTGACCTATGACTGGTTTCCCAGCAGAGCTTGCATGTGGGAGAGCTACGGGAGTGCCCAGGAGTGGTCAGTTAAAGAGACTCTCAGCTGAGGCTTGTGGCTGGTCAGCCTTTCCTTAACCATAGCTCGGCAGATGAACTGTGGTGGCCTGGACAAGTGACAACTCTTGAGCCTTGATTTCCGAAATGATAAAAAATGCTAGAAAACAACAGCTGCCTTGCTGGTGGGAGGAGGAAGCTCAACTGCCAAGTGCTACTGCCCTTAGTATAAGCATCATTGCTGACCCTGAGGACAGTCAGTGCTGAGGGTCTCCCTGACCCGCCCCACTTTCCCACTTCTGCAGCTTACCTGATGAGGGGGACATCATCCAGGGTACAGCAGGTCTTGGGGCCCCCTTGTTCAGCGGGGTCAGGAGAACAGGAGTCGTTGTAAGACCTGGTGGGCAGGACAGGGAGTGGACTGGGAGGAAGGGGTGCCCTAGTCCTTGGGCAGCAGAGCTGCACCCCAGGATCTGCTTGAAACAAGCCAAAGGGATGCAGGGGAGTGGGGAGAAATGGGTGGGTGGGCAGGAAGCCATGCCTAGGGACCAGTATCAGAATTGCAGGGAGGCCTAGGGTCTCTCTTGGGCCCTGGCAGCCACTGATATGCGAGGGGACAAAGCAGAAGGGAGCTCTAAATAAGGCTTTCTGCAAAGTGCTCCATACCAGTTCTCCACAGGGCACACGTGGCGGTTCATCACGGCCATGGCATACCTGCAGGAGCAGAACTGTCACTCTCCCTGCAGCCCAGCCGCCCCTCTCCCCTACTGGCTCTGCTCTTCCACTGGGATTTCTGGCCCCATTCAGCCTCATCTTTATCGCAGAGAACTCAAGAGTGCCCTGAGGCTTGATGCCACACCCCGGCAGCAGCCAGGCCCTCAGGAAGCTGTTCCTCCTCCTCCCACCCCCCTCACTAGCTACAGGCTGGAAGTTAGTCTGTCAGGAATCCATTGCTGAACAGCAGTGGTGCCAGCTTGTCCCAAGGGGCTGTGTGCCCAGGCATCAGGCCAGGCTTTGGAGGCAGCCAGGGCGACCCTGGGTCCTGCTGTGGGACAAGGGACTTTGTGTGACCCCCCCAGTACTCACACAGTCCATATCCCGGTGATGGAGAAGGCAGACAGGCTGACAGGGAGGAGGATCCAGGCGGTCATGAGGGAGGGGAGCCAGGGTGGTGGTGGTATGGGGGGGAGGACAAGAGGTAGGCAGGGAGGAAGGGTCGGGCCACAACCATCAGCTGCCCTGACCTGGTGGGGAGAGAGATCAAAGTCCAGGGTCTGGTGAGCGGCCAGGAGAAGGGGGGAGGGGAGAGGGCAGGTGGTCAACACTTCATCTGGAGCTGCCCTGGGGCCTGTCACTAACTTTGAGCTGAACCTTGGCATTCACGGGGGGAGGTGGGGGAGCCCTCCACGGACCACCCACACGCCAGTGGCATGCTGAGAGGGTCAGGCTGGGCTGCAACATCTGGAAAGAGTCCCCCTCCCTCGCCTGGGAGAAGGCTGGAGCTAGGACAATCAAGGGGTCCACGCCAAAGAAAAGCAGGGGCAATGTGTGGGGCCCGGTGGTGGGCGGTGAGGCGGCGGCGCGCAGGCAACCACCTGATCACTGCGCCCTGGCGAAGGGGCGGGTTCACGCGGGAAGTCCGATCCGGCCCCCTGCTCGCGTGGGCGCGGGGACCCCAGCGTGGGCAGCAGTCCGCGGTCGACAACCCTCCTGCCTCGGGGGAACCTGCGGACAGGGGTCTCCCCTAGGGATCCCTCGAACACCCAGGAAAGGAGCCCAGTTCGTACCTCCGCGTAGCGTCAAGACGCCGCTCTCCACTCAACCCCCTCGTGGTGCTGTCTCCGGCTGCGGCCCTCGGAGCAGCCCTGAAAGGTTTAAAGAGCCGGCGGCCCCGCCCCTAGCGGCCCCAGGCCGCGCCGCCCGCCGGGACGTGGAGTCCGCGCAGCCCCGGCCCCGCGCTCACGCTCCCTGACGGAGACTACAACTCCCGAGCCCCCTCGCCCGCGTCACGGGGGAGACGTGGGCGGCGCCCAGGTTCGGGGGACCGAAGCGCCGAGGGCTGTGGCCCCGGGAACCCCACTGGCCCCGATGCCTACGAGACCGTTCGTTCACCCTGTTATTGCGGTGGAAGGGCCGGGAGGCAGGGATAATCAGCCTTTAGCTCCACCTGTGATTGTCATCGCGCGCACGGCTCGGGAGAGCCTCCTTTTGCCGCCCTGCACTGTTTGCAATCTGGACCCGGGGGCGGTGAGACTTTTTTGGGAGAAGCCCCCCACGATCGTAGCGCGCCCCCTGGCCTCCTCGGTCCAAGGCCTGAGGCAGGAGCCAGAAAAAGGAAACACAAAGCCTTGGCTGTTCCTTAGGAAAAGCAAGCGGCCGGACTCTGGTTTATGCTTCCCGCAGCTTCGCAAATTCGGGAGGAGGGCGGCTGTCAACAGATACGTTTTTTTTTTTTTTTTCCCCAGGGCGTGGGAGTACAATGGACAGAAGTCAGTGTCCAGGACACGTTTCCCGACCGATTGGCACTTGACCAAAGGCTAGCCAGCAGAGACCAAAGGCTAGCCATTGCAAAAACACTCGTGTAGGCGTTAGTGTAAGGTGGGTTAAGAGTTAACCTGGCAATGAAGAGGGTTGAGAGAGAGAAATAAAGAGACTGACTGGAGGAATTTAAGAAAAAGAAACAGGACAGTGTGGGGGATGATCTACTTGTTTCACCAAAATTTAAGGTCAGTATGCACTTCAGAACATTCCTGTCGTGACTGAGAAAGGTGTTGCCCTGCAGCCCCAGCACGTGTTGGAGCTCTTGGTGGGATGACCTTAGGGTAAATCAGAAACGGGGAAGGGACACTGCAGAGGTGGACAAGGGCGAGCTGATGTGCAGAAACAGGCCCCTGTACTATAAGAGGGCAGGGCTAAGAAGGATGGCCGTGCTGAGTCAACAGTGCAAGAACACCGGCTGGGTATGCAGTGGGGGGGGGGGGGCGAAACTCCAGCCCCCCTACTAGCCAGGCTCTGTTGCTAAGGACAGAAGGGTGCCTCTGATCCAGAGGACCCATATTCTTGCCCTTCGTCAGGCACCTTCTCACGTGCCCATTAGAGCTGAGAATCCCCACTGGGAGTTTCTACACTGAAGTGGGTTTGGGTCCCTATCCAGTCATGACAGTACTAAGGTCCCAAGGTCACTGTTCTAACGTGATGGGCAAGGCATCACCGTCCCAGAGCTGAGATGCAGAGCTGGCGTTGGCTTACTCTGACGATCTGATCCCTTAAGTAGAACCATGACAGAGCTCCCTAGAACAGAAGGGCTCCTCATGGGTCCCCAGTAGGGGAGAGTCCTGCACCAGGTTAAGCAGAACCAAATGTTAAAAGCCCTTCACAACGTGAATGCTTCCCGAGTTCAGCCAGTACATTCCAAACAGGACAGTTCTTGAATGCAAGGGGAGATGAGATTTTCAGTGCTGATGCTGTGGTGTGTTGACTTTAGGGCAGGTATTTTATCTCCAGTCCCCCATGTACTTAAGTGATTTCACAACTCTTGGCAAAAACAGTGCTGTAAAAATAGCACATTTATTAGTTAAAAAATACTGTACTTGAAAAGAACCTTTACTTCTTGGCCTAGTCACATAATCTGCACACTTAGTTTTATTAATCCACGCAACAGAAACATTGAAAAATGAGGAAACAAGAGATGTGGCTTTGTATACATTTAACACAGGCACAGTGGTCTTACTCCACTGCCTCTGAGAGAAGGCTGCAGAGTGGTCACTCGGCATTCACTCCAACTCCTGGGAAAATCTGGGGTGGGTGCCTATGGCTCCTCACTAGCTCACTGCTTGAGGACAGGGCAGGAACTCCATCAGAGGTTTTAAGATGTTTTAATTAACTGCCAACATTCCATGGTTCTACAAAAAGGCGGCTTGCTCAGAGGTAGGGAAATAATCTGTCCTATTGCTCTTGCTACCTATAAAGGTTCCACTTGAATTTGTGAGCTAGCTGGGGGTCTGTTCACTTGTCATGACTGGATCCTGCTGAACGCATGGAGGTTGGATGCCTACTCCAAGTGCTTTCACCTGGGTTAATTTCCAGTAGGTAATGCCCCTCCATGGAGTGGCCCATAGAGATTAGCATCCTTTCCACAGAAAATGCACCTGTAATCGCCCATGCACACAGGCCTACTGGCTGGCAGGTCTACAGAGGTGCCAGCTCTCAATGGCACCTCTTTTTCTCAAAGAAAAGCTTTCTAGAGGAAAGTGATTGGCCTAGTGGCTGGGATGCCTATGTCCCACCAGGAACATGTGGTTTCAACTTTCAACCCCTAGCTCCAGTTCCATAATACCATTTGGGGGAAAAAACATAAACAAACAAACAAAAAACACAACTGCATAATTCCTTTCCCTGCTTGTGTTACATTCTTCAAAGACTTCTATGTTTGCCAACTGGCTGCAACTCAAGTTTTAATGTTTACTCTTGCACAGCCCAAAGCCCCTGCAAGCCCAGGTTCCTTGTACCTATGACATGACCTACTGGCCCAGGAAACACAAAGCCTTAAATCTAGGCTTACTTTCAGTTAAGAAATAATACTGCATACTAAATGGCAAGAAACATGCCTATGAGACCATTTTTTTAAAGACAGCCAAGAACCTATCTAATCAAAAGAGGACTGCTTCTGAAACAGTCTGGCATACCAGTGGCATCCATAAGTGATGCCACTGCCCCCACCCAACACAGGTCAGTCCTGAGACAGGCTCCTAGCTGGCAAATTGCAGATTTTTAACATGTGGAGGACTTCCAGAGGCAGATCTGGTGATTAGACGAGATAGTACCATTTTGGACTCCCATTGGGGAGAAGGGGAGTTGGCAATACACAATAGGTTAACAGCCCAGTCCTGGCACAAGGCTTAGTGCTTTAGAGTCATGCTACACAGATTAGAATACTTGTATGGGTGGAAAATGTGTCACATACACTTGGTAAACCAAGAATTTCAGCAAAACCAAGTCATGAGGCAAGGAGATTGTAAGCCTGCACTGGAAGGTCTCTGAGGATGGGTCTCTGAGGATGCACTGTGCAAACACCACAAATGTCCCTGCACACAAAACAGGAACAGAAGTTTAGAAATCTCAGGTACCATGTCCCCCAAACACCTGGGTTATACAAAAACAGTGTAACATGCGATCCAGTTGTGAGATGCACACAGAAAGAATTTCCAGACTCAGCAATCACAGAATTCCAGTGAAATCCCATGTCCCAAGCCACAGGATCTATTGAAGAGCCGGCAGACTTGAAGTGACTGGTCCTGTAACCTGTGGGGAGAATAGTCCTGCCCCAGGAGGGCAGTTAACATAAGGCACTTGTAGCCTGTTGCATAAGTAGAGGGAAGGGACTTTCTCCTGTGAAAGCAGACCTGAGCCCAGGACTGGCAGTTTAAGGCACTTAACCTTGGGCAGCTCCCAATGGGTCGGGAGTACTCTGGTCCCTGGCTGCTTTCACAGCCAGACCCTTCTAACCAATCCGCCTCTTGTACTGTAGCAGCATTCCTGGGTACTGCAAGCTACAGCTCAGGTGTTTTGTCATTCTCATGGTGTGGTGGAGGTAGCTGCCTTGGCCTGTTCTGAGATGATCTGTGGGGTTTGGACTACAAATCCACAGTTCTCTCAGGTGTCCTTTGAGCAAGAAGCTGTTGCGATGGGACAGACGAACTGATGTTCAGAATCCTGACGTGGGGGCAGAAAAGGCTTTGGCTTCAGGAAGTTCTGGGCTCAGAGGTCCATTTCAAGCTGCTGAGGTAAGGCTGATTTGCTGGCAAACTCAAGCTGCCTTGGAACTTTGGTGTGCTCGACATCTTGTGGACTTCAGACCTTAATCTAACCCTGGGGTAGAAGAGATGTTCCCTAGGTAACGGCAGTGCTGTCCTGGGACTCTTGAAGGATCTGTTACATATACACAGGGGCTTCAAGAAGTTCAGACCGTCCACACTACCTTTCAGTTCCATTTCCCATGAACTTTTGGAAGCCACCTTGGGTGTATCCTTGAGAGGTAGTGTGGGAGAAAGAAGGCGACAGATGGACATGGGACAGGGAGAGGAGGCAGAGCTTGTTTAGTAACCTTCTCTGTAACTCTGGCCCCAAACAGGCAATTATTGCTAATGTTGAGTTTCCCTTGGTACTTAGGGACCAGACTTTTAAGCCACACTTGCAGAGTTAGCTTCAAGCAAGCTTGCTTTGCTAATTCTCTGTTAGTGGCCAATCTATTCACAGCGGGAATTCTGCAGCCTCAGATTGGTTCTGCTGCAAGAAATCCGTGTGGGTTAAAACCAGGATCTTTCTAGGTCTCCTATCTGACAGAACAAAGCAGTGGAGCATGCAAGCTATTTCAGAAAGCCAGGGGATACAGAGGGAAGTGGTGGTGGGAGCCGGGAAGGGAGGCATGCTTGGGAGCAGCTTTCAAAAATGAAGGTCTTCCATTTTATCCTAGTGTCAGAATTACTTGGAGAACTTGTGAGAAAGGCAGATCCCCAGCAACTCCCCCACCTCCAAAGTCTGGAGCAGCTGGAGGTGCTCAGTCCCTTTGAAGGGGTGGGGAGAGAATTGGCCTAAGGCAAAAGCGGTGAAGGAAAGGAAGAACAAAGGAATAAAGCTTAAAAAAAAAAAAGCCTGAGGACACGTGGGTGGAAGTGAGCACAAACAAAGAAAAACAACCAAAAAATAACAAACAAGGCTCAGGGTGCTGGGTGGAACACAGAGCAGCCAGGCATGTGGGCCCAGTGACAAAGCAGCAGGACAGCTTAGGTCTTCCTAAACCCTGCTTCTCAAGTCTGTGCTTCCAGAACACCAAGAGAGCCATGTTCAACACTCCTCCTTCCAAGAAAATAAAATAAAATAAATAGATTCCAGATCACAAGGCCGGCACAGAGGCCAACACAGGAAATGGCTGTGGGGGAGCAGGCCTCCATGGATGCAGCAGCAAGCAGCAGCTCCGGCAGTGTCAAGATCAAGCAGCCTGGCGCTGAGCTCCTGGGGCAGAATTCTTCCAAGGCTGGGAATCCGGCCTGCAAAGAATGCTTTCAAACCAGTCAGTGGCGGTTCTGGCGCTTGGAGATCTCCTCTTGGACCCTCAACTTGAGGGCTTCTCGCATGGACGGATCCAGAGGCGTGTGGGCAGACACCTCCTCGCTCACCCTTCCAGGGTCATCGTCCTAGGTGGAGGAAGTCAGCAAGCTCAGGGCCTGTGCACTTTTGAGAAAGGTGACTTGCCCTGTTCCTGGACAATACTTTTCTGTACAGAACTCTGCTTGGCTCAAGGCTTTGTGCCAGTTTCTGTCCTTTCTCAGATGTTCCCTGCTACTAACAGGGACTTTCATCTGGGGTCCACGGGCCCCCCTGTCCTGCCCCCTCTGAGAACTGCTGTGCCATGGGCCCAGGCTACAGCTCCTTGCACAGCGCATACCTGATACACGATCACTGACGTGACCTCGCCACTGTCTGCCTCGTATTCCAGGCAGAAGAGCTGGTGGCCAGCAGGCTCCGGTTCAGAACCTCCACTGCTGCTACTGTCACTGGACTCTTCAGGGTCTGGTTTGCCTGGGCGGGTAGAGCCATCTGGAAGGATGAACCAGAAGGAGAGGAGGAGGGGATGCTGCTGAAGCCCTTGCCTACAGAGAAGATGCTGGAAAAGTGCACCCAGAAAGGAAACACCCAACCTTCTTTGGAACATTGTGTGTTTTCACGCACGCATGCTACCTGTCACTTTTATTGATTTTGGAGTCCCTGCCGGGAGCCAGCACAGTCCTGTCACTGGGTAGGTACACAAGGCTCATGTGTTGGGCAAACAGGGACTGGAAGGTTCCAGAAGGGGAGCAGAGCTCTGCCATTGATTGACAGAACTCTTGGCCACATCATTTACTCACTGCATGACACTGACACAGAAATAATTCTCAAGGTGGTGCAATGGCTCCATTAGCTAATCCTCTGCTCCAGCATCCCATATGGGTGTTGCTTCAAGTCTTGGCTGCTCCACTTCCAATTCAGCTTCCTACACATGGCCTGGGAAAGTAGTGGAGGATGGCCCAAGTCCTTGGGCCCATGCTCCCATGTGGGTGACCTGGGAGAAGCTCGGGATTCATGGCTTCAGATGAGCCCAGCTACAAACACTGTGGCCATCTGGGTGGGAAGATCTGTCTGTCTCTCTGTAAATCAGCCTTTCAAATAAAAATAAATTCTTTTTTTTTAAAGATTTATTTTTATTATTTTTTCATTGGAAAGGCAGATATACAGAGAGGAGAGACAGAGAGGAAGATCTTCCGTCCGGTGATTCACTCCCCAAGTGAGCGCAACGGGCCGATGCTATGCCGATCCGAAGCCAGGAGCCTCTTCCAGGTCTCCCACGCGGGTGCAGGGTCCCAAAGCTTTGGGCCGTCCTCGACTGCTTTCCCAGGCTACATGCAGGGAGCTGGAAGGGAAGCGGGGCTGCCGGGATTAGAACCGGCGCCCATATGGGATCCCGGGCGTGCAAGGCGAGGACCTTAACCACTTGCGCCACCACACCGGGCCCAAATAAAAATAAATTCTACATATTTGTTTTTAAGATTCATCCATTTTAATTTGGAAAGGCAGAGAAGGAGAAAAAGCAAAACAGAGAAATATCCTCCATCAGCTGGTTGCAACTGCTGGAGCTGATCTCATCTGTAGCCAGGAGCTTCCACTGGGTCTCTTACATGGGTGCAAGGACCCAAGGTTTGGGTCACCCTCCGCTGCTTTCCTAGGCCACAAGCAGGGAACTGGATGGGAAATGCGACAGCTGGGACACAAATCGGCACCCATATGGGATGCAGGTGCTTGCAAGGTGAGGATCTAACCTTTGAGTGCGAGTCCAATCTTTTTTTTTTTTTTAATTATAACTCTCATGGTGAAGTATAGGAAAGAACTGAGAGCACTTTAATGCTGAGCAGTGTCAGCGTCCTATGCAGTCTGAGTGGCAGGGAAGCTGGGGAAAAGATCAGTTGCTGGATTAATCCTACACGTGGGTGCTGGTTGCTCACGGTGGGGCCAGGTTTTAGCCCCACTAATAGGTGGGGCAGTCTAGCATGGCAGACAACTCCTGTGGGCACCCAGGTACTAAGCGATGCTTAGCTGCGGGGCCTGGAGCCCTTTCCAGTCCCCGGGGAGAATGAGTGATGAAGTGGAAGTGGGTGAGCTGAGCTGAGCCCCTGCTGCATCGGGGGGAGGAGCCACGTGGGCGGGGCTGGCGGCCTCACCTCGGTGTCGCGGCAGGTACACCTGCAGGTCGGGCTTGCGGGGCCGCGTCGGCGCGGGCGTGTGCCGCCTCCTCACCTTCTCCTTGGCCGCCTGCTTCACCTTCTTGTCGTAGTCGTCCCTGCGGGGAGCCGGGCGGGAGTCAGGGACCGCCGGCCGGCCGTGCCCGGCCCAGGCCACGGGCAGCGTCGGCGGAGAGGGGCGGGGAGATACCGGGCGATCTGGTTCCGTCGGATATGGTGCACGAAGCCGTGGCTCATGTCCAGCCGCCCACCGGGCTTGCAGCACAGCCTGGGCCCGGGACTCCGGGCTGCCTCCATCCGGAACCCTGGGCTCGTCGCCACCTCAACGGGCCCAACGGTAGCCCTCTGGCCGGGGGACACCCTCTCTCAGCTTCCGTCTGTGACGCCTGACTTCCGGCTCGCGGGCGGGCTGGCGGGACGCGCCCGGTTCGCGGCCCCGACCGGGTGGAGGCGGAGCTTTTTCTATTATTATTGGAAGGAAACGAGAACTTCTGCGGACAGTTGATACATAAAACTCATCTGCGAACTCTCATTAACGCCACTGTTTGTTTCTGCTGAGCAGTCGCATGCCCCGAGCTGGACGGCGGCGGCCCCGCCCACCATCACCGGTGGTTCCGTTTGTCCCTTCCGGCGACTCGTAGCGCGCTTCGTCAGCTTGGCTCCTGATTGGCTGCGCGCCGCGCACTGCGAGCGTGCCTTGGGCGCCTGAGCTGTGGCGACGAGCCCGGTAGTGGCCATGTCCTCCCGGGCCAAGCGGGAGTCTCGCGGTTCCACCCGTGGGAAGCGCGAGTCCGAGTCCCGGAGCAGCTCGAGTCGCGTCAAGCGAGAGCGGGATCGGGAACGGGAGCCCGAGGCGGCCAGTGCCCGGGGCAGCCCGGGGCGCGTGAAGCGCGAGGTCGAGGCGGCGAGCGCGCGCGAGGCCCCGGCCGCCGTCCCAGCCGTGCGCGTCAAGCGGGAGCGCGAGGCCGACGAGGACTCGGAGCCCGAGCGGGAGGTGCGAGGTGCGCGAGGCCCGGCCGGCCGGGGCGCCGCCTCCCTTTTGTCTCTTTGGGACCTTGGGCTGACGTTCCCACCTGGGTACGGGGAGGACGGGGAACGCCGAGCGTGCGGCGGGCCCGAGGGTTTAACGTTTTCACGTGAAGCAATGTGCACGTCAGCCCTCCGCGGCCCCAGGCTGGGCTGGCACGGGTGATGCTCTTAGGGTACGGTCAGGGAACCCCGAGCTGGAGTTTCGCTATAGAGCACAGATTGGGGGCCCACACACAGTCCCTCATAAAGGGCTTAGCATCTCCTGACTCCGAATTCCGCTCTTTGTGAGAGCTGATGTCTCAGCCACTGCTGTTACTGCTGTGAGAGACTGCGTTGTTTCATTCCCTGGAGTTGGGTGTCCTCCATCAAGCAAGCTAGCTTGTTCAGCTTGCAGAGAGGGTAAAGCCAGGAACCCCTCACAGTTCCTGCCGAGTGTCAGATTCAAGGGCGTCAACGTATAGGATACTCTTCTTGAAATTGTTCTTACACATTGCATGTATTCATCATTTCATGAATCTGTGTTGCCCTGGGAAATTTCTTTATGTAATAGATTAATGAGTCCTTTGTTTATGTCACCTGTATATTTTCTCTTGGTTTGTGGCTTGTCCCCCCAGTAGATTATGATTATTATCGGCTGTGTTGTTGCTCTCTCAGAGGAGTGTGTCCTAACTGGGAACTCCTCTAGACTGGTTATTTGCCGTTCTTTGGGTCCTCAGCTGTGTCTTCATTCGGCCTTGAGCCTGCTTGTTCTCAGAGCCTGTGGTGATTTTCCTTTCAGCGAAGAATGGCCGCGTGGATTCCGAGGACCGGAGGAGCCGCCACTGCCCTTACCTGGACACCATTAACAGGTCAGTGGGCGAGAGATGCCAGAAGGAGCAAAACAGTGGAGGAACCAGGCTGGGTTCATGCCAGTGTAGGCCCCAGGAGGCAGCAGTGATCGCACAGGCGGCTGGACCCTGATGCCCGTGTGGAGGAACCAGATTGAGTTTCCAGCTCCCAACTCTGGCTGGCCCAGGGGTGATCGCCGTGAACGCATGGAAAAAGAGCTGGTGGAGGGATCTGTGCCTCTCTGCCTCTCAGATAAATAGGGATTAAGAAATGGTTAAAATGGCAAGTTTCAATTTATTTATAAAACAATGGAATTTGTATAGAAATTCCCTATGGGGCCAGCATAGTGGTATACCTGATTAAGCCTTAACCTGCATTGATGGAATCACATTATGGATGCTAGTTGGGCACTTGGCTGCTCCACTTGTGTTCCGGCTCCCTGTGAATGTACCTGGGAAAGCAGCAGAGATGGGTGGACCACGTGCTTGGTCCCTGCACTCATGTGGGTGGCCTGGAAGAAATTCCAGGCTTCTGGCTTCAGCCTGGCATAGCTTCAGGGAGGAAAGCAGCAGATGAATTGCTTTTCTGTCTTTTGCTCTGTTTAACCTTGCCTTTTTTTTTTTTTTTTAAGATTTATTTATTTTTATCAGGCAGATTTACAGAGAGGAGAGACAGAGAATGATCTGTCCATTGGTTCATTCCCGGAATGGCCATAATGACTGAAACTGAGCCAATCCGAAGCCAGGAGCCAGGAGCTTCTTCTGGTTCTACCATGCGGGTTCAGGGTCCTAAGGCTTTGCACTGTCTTCTACTGCTTTCCCAGTCCACAAGAATGGAGCAGGATGGCAAGTGGGCCATCCTGTATACAAATCGGCCTCCATTTGGGATTCCAGCACACGGAAGGCAGGGATATAGCCACTAGACTATTGTGCCAGGCCCAGAAGATAAAGAAGTTAAGAAAAAATTAATGATGAGAGAGGATTGTGGGTCTTGTGTGTTTGGTAGAAACCCCTTGACACTGTAGTGGGAGATGGGGAATGGTTGGCATTCCCCACTGTTTAGTCACAGCTGTTAAGGCATTGTCTGAATGATGTGTGACACTGTGGAATATGGAGCTAACACTGGGTCACTTGGGTACCTTTCCAAACTTCCAGCTCTAATTTTTGTTGTTATTCTGTTTGGTTTTTATAGGAGTGTGCTAGACTTTGACTTCGAGAAACTGTGCTCCATTTCCCTGTCACATATCAATGCATATGCCTGTCTGGTGTGTGGCAAGTACTTTCAGGGTAAATAAATGTTATCAATTGTAAAATGAAGTGTTCAGAGCTTGTTGCAGTTCTGCTGAAGTGCGGTTTTATGTTTGTGTGTGTATGTATGTTTGTGTGTGTTGTGAGTGTATTTTCAAATAAAGTCAGTTGTTTTCAGGAGTCCTCTGTAGTAATTCCTGTCTTTGTTTTCTGAAAATTGGCATACTCTTAGAATACTAACAGGCGGTTCTCTGGTCAGAATCTGAAAGGGAGAAAGAATGAGTCGTGTGAAAGATTGTGGTTTCAAAAGCTCTGGCTTTCTGAATATCTGCTGTTGCTATACTCAACTCCGTTTGCTCTAAGAACTTTTTAGTGGCTTCTTTGAATTTTTTTAATTTCAACTCATTCTGACCAATGCTGTATACATGGTGTTGTGAAGGATTTGAAAGAGACACAAACTACATTCCCCCATCTTATAAGGAATCAGGGTTGACTCATGTGACAGTCATTGCATGCTGCAGAACCATTAAGGTTTCTACTAGATTGTGTCACAATGAGTAAAAATAAGGACAGTGGGAAGTATGCAAAGATCACTGTTAGTTTACAGAGGAAGTAAGGTGGAGCTTGAACTGGACTTGGAGAATGTGAATGGGTTAAGTGGGAAGGGTCTCAGTTTCCTTGTGAGTGAGGGTAGTCCACAGGTGCAGATTGGCTAATGTGGACAGTTGGGGACCCAGGACTAAGGGATGATGGACTCTCCCAGGATACGTATACGTGTTTGTGTGTTTGTGTGCGTGCATATTTTATATCACATTATCTAATTTTTGGCATATATGAAATTAACTTGTATGTATATAAACTCATATGTGCATTTCCATTTTGAAGTTAGTTTCTAATAAACTGCTGTCCTGTGCTGTGTAGGAATAAAGTAAATACTGTGCTAATCTTTCTTGCTAATTTTTGTGATGTGAGAAGTTTGGGAGTTATTTTATGAATTGCAGAATGTTTTGTTTTTGCCAAACTTAGCATGTTGCAGTACAGGATGATGAAAGAGGAAACAAACCTGCTTTGTGCCCTTTGAGGCCTGCCCTCATTTCACAGCCTTTTCCCTTCCACACAGGCCGGGGTTTAAAGTCTCACGCTTACATTCATAGCGTCCAGTTCAGCCACCATGTCTTCCTTAATCTTCATACACTCAAGTTTTACTGCCTGCCAGATAATTATGAGATCATCGATTCCTCGCTGGAGGATATTACGGTATGTCCGGGTGGGCTGGTTGGATCTAGTTGATGTGGGAGCTGTCACCTGAGATCAGGGGAGAACACGCAGGCCCTGTACACCTGAGAGGCTACTTCCTGGCAAGAGCCAGCAAAAGTGAATAGTGTCAGAGTTCATAACTGTAGTCTGTGATGTGCATCATTGAGGGCTAGGACTGAAGAACTGTGGCTCCTTTTAATAGGAGCTACTGCTGTTGTTGTCTTTAAAAATCTTGTTTTTTGTTTGTTTTTTTAAGATTATTTTTATTGGAAAGTAAGATTTACAGAGAGAAGAGACAGAAAGAAAGATTTTCTATGTGCAGTAAACTCCCCAAGTTGTTTCACTCCCCAAGTGGCCCCATCAGCTGATGCTGAGCTGATCTGAAGCCAGAAGCTTCTTCTGGGTCTCCCACATGGGTGCCGGGTCCCAAGGCTTTTGGCCATCCTCTACTGTTTTCCCAGGCCACAAGCAGGGAGCTGGATAGGAAGTGGAGCTGCTGGGAATAGAACCAGCACCCATATGGGATCCCGGTGGATGCAAGGTGAGGGTTTAGCCACTGAGCTATCACGCTGGGCCCAAGATTTAAAAAAAATTTTATCATTGTTATTTTATTTGAAAGGCAGAGAGAGATCTTCCATCCACTGGCTCATTCTCCAGATGCCCAAAGTAGCTAGAGGTGGGCAAGGCCATAGTCCAGGAGCTTGGAACTCCATCCAGGTCTCCTATGTGAGTATTTGGGTGCTAGCACTTCAGCCATCATCTGCTGTCTCCCAGGATGTAATTAACAGGAAGCTGATTTTCAATGGCCCTCTCTTATGGGATGTAGGTGCACCAAGTGTTTCTAGTAACAGGAAAGTGGTGCATATTGATGATACTGAGTGTCCTGCTTATTGTTAAGGAAAGTTTAGTGTTCAGAGGCTTTGAGCTTTGTGTGTACTATTTTTAGAGTTTTATAGGCCTGGCAGTTAGAGACAGTACTTGCAGAGGGAGAAATTAATAAATAAATGCAGAGATTCATAGTTCATCATGGCCTCTGTATAGTCTGTGGCTTGGTGGCTGTGGTCACACAGTGACTGGGAGGATTGTGATCTTGCCCCTCTAGCCCCAGGGAGTCCTGGAGATTCAAAGTGCTGGGGAGGAGATGTGCCTGCTGTGAGCCAGGTACATGTGTTGCTCTGGGTGGGGTTTGCCTGAAACATGCAGTTTGTGGAAACTTGAGCATCCTGCAGTTTCTAGTAGTCTCCTTTCATAAGTAGACCACATGTGAGGTCTGAAGAAAGGCTAAGTGATTTGGAGTTAAACCTAGAGATCCTGGGGCTGGCATGTTAAGGTACCACCTGCAGTTCTGGCATCCCGTATGGGCACCAGTTCAAGTCCTACCTGCTTCAAGTCTGATTCAACTTCCTGCTACTGGGATCCTTTCCCGTGGTGTTCATGTAGGAGACCCAGATGGAGTTCTAGACTCAGCTTTGGCCTGGCTCAGCTCTGGAATTGTGGGGAATGAGCCAAAGGATGGAATAGCTATCTAATTATCTTTCTCAAACTCTGCCTTTCAGATAAATAAATGACTCTTTAAAAGCCACAGCGAAGAGATACGCTTGTAGCTTGTATCTCAATAGTGAGGGGAGGATGTACTCCATGGTCCTTTGTTTCTTAGGGACCTATTTAGCCATGAGGTGAGACTTTTTTTTTCCCAATCTCAGTGGAGTTGCTATTTAATATCTGAGCAGATTATAAGAATATCGGAACAGGCACCTTAGTTCATCCTTCTAATAAGCCTGTTGATTTGGTCTTCCCTGTTGCTAGAGTGTCCACCCTCTACAAAATGGGTGGTCTTTTTCTTCATCCCACCTCAGGGAGAAGACAACATGAAGGGCCACCAGAAGTTATTTGCTTCTTTGAAGTGTTTTCCTACAGTGTAGATCTCGTGAATCAGATCCTCCAAGCATGTATTTACCGAGAGAATGGGCAATCAGGCTGTTATCCATCAGGTCAATTCACTTCTTATTGACTTTGCAATAGCCATGCTTGTAGATCAGCTCATTCACTGACTTTAGATTCGGGTAGCCCCATGCAATGTAGAGTTCCACAATCCTCAGCATGTTAAGGGAAGCCTTATTGAGCTTCACAAAGGTGCCATTGAAGATGTGGCGAATGCGAAGAAACTGCAGCACCTTGTGGACTTTGGGCTCCACACCACTGACACCTCTGATGCTGGTGACAAATGCCAATTTGGGTTCTACAGAGACGTAGAAGTTGCCAGCTTTCCTTGCCATCCTCACCATCCGAATTTCAGTTCTGTACATCTGCCTGTTCTCTTTGTGATAGTACTTGGCCTGCTCGTAGATCAGCTTCCTTCTTGCCTTTCAGAGCATCTTCTGGGCAAACTTCTTTCGCAGGCACTTGATCTTCAACTCTGCAAAATTCCTCCGCTTTTTCTTCAGTGTTTCTGGCACAGTGGGGACCTTCTTTTCTTTGGCACCCTCCCTGGTTCCAGCCAGAAAGGAGGAGAGATATTTGTAACTAACATGTTTTTACTTGTGGTAGAGGTTGCTGTTCCAATTATATTTTGTGAGTTCTGTTTATAATGCCAAACAACAGAGTTTTCTTTTGCTTTGCAGTATGTTTTGAAGCCCACATTCACAAAGCAGCAAATTGCAAACTTGGACAAGCAAGCCAAGTTGTCGCGGGCCTATGATGGCACCACTTACCTGCCTGGGATCGTGGGGCTGAATAATATAAAGGCCAATGATTATGCCAACGCTGTCCTGCAGGTAGGATGAAGACACCATGAACGCTGGCGAGGAGAGGGCAGCAACCTGGAAACTGCCTGAGTGTTAGGAAATTCCTCCCTCGCTATGGGGTGCTCAGTGGTTCCAGACATGAAGTTCTGCTGAGGACACCACTGAGTTTTGTGTAGCGAATGGACCATTCTCTGCCTGCTCAGGGCACTACTATAAGTGGTGAGGATTTTTCTGGGGGACTCTTAGTCTCTGGAGCTTCCAGGGAAAGAATAGAAGCATCATCAAACAAATGAAAAACATACTAGATACTGCCTCTCCTCCCCCCAGTGATGTGGATATTGGTTGTGTTGGCTCTTGGGTTTCTTATTTTCCCAATGTTTATGCACCAAAAGCAAAAAACTGAATGTCACAGTTATCCTTTTTCCTAAATGTTTTTATTATTATTATTATTATATTATTATTATGTATACACTATAGAAAAAATAGAAAGTGCTGATACAAAAATTCTCATTCTTTCATTGTACCAAGAAAAAAAAATCCATTTTAAAAATTTGCCCCGGCGTGGTAGCCTAGAGACTAAAGTCCTCGCTTTGCATACACCAGGATCCTATGTGGGCACCAATTTGTGTCCTGGTGACTCCACTTCCCATCCAGCTCTCTGCTTATGGCCTGGGAAAGCAGTGGAGACGGCCCAAAGCCTTGGGACCCTGCACCCACGTGGGAGACTCAGAAGGGCTCCTGGCTCTTGGCTCCTGGCTTCAGATTGGCAAAGTTCCGGCCATTGCAACTGCTTGGCGAGTGAATCAGTGGATGAAAGATCTTCTTCTCTATTTATGCTCCTCTGTGTATGTCTGACTTTCCAATGAAAATAAATAAATCTTAATAAATAAATAAAAATTTGTAAGGAAAGTCTCAGGCTTATTGGCTAAAAATATATAAATTATAAAGTAAAAGCTGTATTCTTATCCTTAATACCTTGTCCTGGAGTAGTGAACAATACTTAGACTTACAGAACTTTTTAAAAAAGATTAATTTTGTTTTTAAAAAAATTTATTCTTTGGAAAGTCAGATTTACAAAGTGACGAGAGGCAGAAAGAGAAGAACATCTGCTGGTTCACTTCTCAAGTAGCTACAGCGAGCAGAGCCGAGCTGATCTGATGCCAGGAGCCAGGAGGAGCCGGGGATGGGGGGCGCCTCTGTTTTCTATCTACCTTCCTGCTAATATGCTTGGGGGGCAATATTTGATGGCAGAGAACTTGATTTCTTCTTTTTTTTTATTTTTTAAAGATTTATTTTTATTGGAATGTTAGATATACAGAGATAAGAGACAGAGAGGATGATCCTCTATCTGTTGATTCACTCCCCAAGCGGCTACGACAGCTGGAGCTGAGCCAATTCGAAGCTAGGAGCCAGGAGCCTCTTCTGGGTCTCCCATGCAAATGCAGGGTCCCAAGGCTTTGGGTCATCTTTCACTGCTATCTCAGTCTATAAGCAGAGAGCTGGATGGGAAATGGAGCTGCCAGAACACAAACCGGCACCCATATGGGATCCCGGCACATGCGTAGTGAAGATTTAATAATTAGGTTATCATGCTGGGCCCAAAGTACTTAATTTCTTGCCATCCATGCAGGAGACCAAATGGAATTCCTGGTTTTAGCCTGGTCTAACCCTAACTGCTAAAAGCACTGGGGATAATCAGTGGTCTACATGGGCATGCATCCATCTCAACTGTGTAAACACAAATAAAATAAATTTATTTAAAAAAAAAGTATTTGGGGAGTGAACCAATGGGTGAAAGATCTCTCTTTTTTTCTCTTTGTGTCTCCCTTTCTCTCTCACTTTGCCTTTTAGAAAAAAAAAAGTGGCGAAGGACTATGTTGATTTTCAGCCTTTGACACTTTGTGAATTTAAATGTTGTCCAAGATATAAGTAAAAAACAAGAGATGTTGTTGAGTGCTTGAGGATTTGAGTATCTTTTTACAGATTTCTTTGTTTTACCTATAGTATCAAAGTTTTCATAGACTTATGCTTCCTCTAAGACTCAGTATGAGGAATATTGTATAATGTGAGTCCTGGATGGGGATTTGCCACGGTCTGTTGTCCCTGACTCTTTAAGGCCAAAAGCCATGACAGGTGTCATTAGAACCTTAGATGGAAAAGCTTGACTCCAGGAGGTTCTGCAGAAGGACTTGGGATTAATTAAAGTGCTTAATTTCCAGGCTCTGTCTAATGTGCCCCCTCTCCGGAACTACTTTCTGGAAGAAGACAATTATAAGAACATCAAGCGACCTCCGGGAGACATCATGTTCTTGTTGGTCCAGCGTTTTGGAGAGCTGATGAGAAAGCTCTGGAACCCTCGAAATTTCAAGGCACATGTCTCTCCCCATGAGATGCTTCAGGCTGTTGTCCTTTGCAGCAAGAAGACTTTTCAGATCACCAAACAAGGTAAGAAACAGGTCATTCCTGTTGCTTTGACAGTAGAACTAGTTTTATGAATATTTAGTTTTGCTAATTTTTTTCTAATGAGTTTTGCTGTTTGTTTGAAAGAGTTACAGAGAAAGGAGACACACAACAGAGAGAGATCTGCTAGGAACTTCTTCTTGGTCTCCCACTTGGGTAGCAGGGGCCCTGACATTTGGACTGTGCTCTGCGGCTTTTCCTTGGCCATTAGCAGAGAGCTGGATCTATAGTGGAGCATCTGGAGCTTGAGCTGGTACCCATGTGGGATACTAGCACTACAGGCTGCAGTATACCACAGTGGTGGTGCACTAGGAGGATCTTTTTTTTTTTTTTAAAGATTTATTTATTGTTATTACAAAGTCAGATATACACAGAGGAGGAGAAGAAGATCTTCTGTCCAATGATTCACTCCCCAAGTGACCACAGCGGCCGGTGCTGCACCGATTCGAAGCCGGGAACCAGGAACCTTTTCCAGGTCTCCTGCTCGGGTGCAGGGTCCTAAAGCTGTGGGCCGTCCTCAACTGCTTTCCTGGGCCACAAGCAGGGAGCTGGATGGGAAGTGGAGCTACTGGGATTAGAACCGGCTCCCATATAGGATCCCGGGCGTGCAAGGCGAGGACTTTAGCTGTTAGGCCACACTGCCGGGCCCAACATCCGATTTGTTTTAAAAAAAAAAACGTTGTGGGAAGAGTAACTTAGAGGAGAAGTTTGGTAGTAGCTTTGAAGGGTCTTGGTACTTAAGGGAAGGAGTAGGACCCAGGGGCTTTGTGATTATAGGGTAGGAAATACCAGTCTGAGATGGATAGTTTATGGTGATCAAGCTGCAGGATTTATTCCTAGGTGAGGGAGCTTCAAAAAGTTTATAAAAAGTGGAACTAAGAGATAAATTTATTTTAATACAAAAATATTTGAAATCTGTGTATTGTGTTTTCATAATATGTATCATCCATGAACTTTTGGAAGACCCCTCCTGTTATAGCATGGTTACTGATGGTGTTTAGGAGTTTATAACCATGGAAGTAAAATGTTCATTCAGTGTACACCCATGATATGACCAGGTGACTGCCAGGCTGTGTAGGACCAGCAGGTTGCATGCCTACCTATCCTGGCTAGGGTGTCATCTCTTCAGAGGGGCATTGTTTCTTGACCAGCTCTGTAAGTCATCTCAGCTTTTGATATAACTCCTGGCCTAAGTATGGGTTCTGGGGCCACTCAGCTTTTGGCAACACTGGAAAATTGAAGCATGATTGTTGAAAAAGTCAGAATGTACAAAGATAAACTTACCCAGTTTCTCTTGTCACAGCGTTGGGTATGATAATTATGTTGTCATACGAATGTGGCATCCTCAGCTCTGGGACCCGCAGGTCATCAGTTGCCTGGTGTTTAGATTGGTAAAGGCATCCTAGTTCTGATAGTTGGTTTTCATGTACAAGCATTGTATGTGAGGTGAATGACAAGAAAGTCATTTTGTGGTATAGAGGTCTTGGGATCAGAAAAGGAAGTTAAGAACACATTTTATAGTTTTTGAGACTTAAGAAAGCAAAGAGGGAATAAAAGCAAAATTGACTTTTTGGGTAAGAAGCCATTATTCTTGAAATAGCTCGTATAAGCTCTGTAGACACATTCTTGAGGATGAGGGGTACTGTTCATGTGCTGGTTCCCAGAACCCCCTTGCTTGAGATAATTGTAAATGCCATTTTGGTCTTGCTGCTAGAATTCACCTTCCTGCAAGGTAGGAATCTTTGTTAGCTAAAAAAGGAAGAAGGAAGCCTGGGTTTACTCTGGAGAAGTTGTTAGCTATTTGTTTTGATCATCCCTGGATGAAGAGATGCAAATTTGGAGAGGAGATGAAAATTGAACATCCTAGTGTGGGTTAGAGAGCCTAGTGAGAGAGGAAAGACTGGGAGAGTAAGAGCTTGACCTTGAAGAGTTGCCAGTGTTCCATGGTCAGACAGGAGGATAAACAGGGTCAGGATGGTGTGGCCTGAAAGGAAGGAGGGAAACCAGGAATTTGGTTTCCTTGAGTGACTCCTAGCCTCAATGTATTCCACCTTTCCTTTTTCCCAGGGGATGGAGTCGACTTCCTGTCTTGGTTTCTGAATGCTCTGCACTCAGCTCTTGGGGGCACAAAAAAGAAGAAAAAGAGTAAGTCATACTGCGTGTACAAAGACACTCTTTCTTGTTTGTTCTCAAAAAAAAAAAAAAAAAAAAAAACCTTTGTAACTTTCCATTCTTTTGTTGTTAACTGTTTATCATGTGGGAGCAGGGGGAAGATATCTTTTGTACACATAGGCCCTGTTGTCAGTCTGTTTTTCCTGTGTAATGAAATTCTTTTTTTTTTTTTTTTAATTTATTTTTATTGGAACGTAAGATTTACAGAGAGAAGGAGAGACAGAAAGAAAGATCTTTTGTCCGTTGGTTCACTCCCCAAGCAGCTGCAATGGCTGGAGCTGTGCGATTCTGAAGCCATGAGCCAGGAGCTTCTTCCAGGTCTCCCTTGCAGGTGCAGGTCCCCGACTGCTTTCCCAGGTCACATGCAGGGAGCTGGATGGAAAGTGGAGCAGCCAGGGTACAGACTGGTGCCCATATGGGATTCTTGTGCATGCAAGGTGAGGACTTTAGTCACCAGGCTACTGCTCTGGGCCCATAATGAAATTCTTGAGGCAAACCCATGTTATAAGAAGAACTGTATTCCACCTAGTTTTTGGATGCTGAATGTCTAGATGGTATGGCATGGGCTTTATGTGAAGCATGACTCACACTTTGAAATAGGATACTGCAGCAAGAGACTTAAGGGTCAGGCTCACTTTTATAACAGCTCACTGTGCCTGGAGACCTCCCGCCAGGTCCTGCCTCTTGAAAGTCCCACCTTTCTCAGTACTACAGCCCTAGGGACTAAACTCCAACAAAGGAACCATAGCACCCTTCTCCATGTTTTGGTTAGAATAATTGTATTTTTAATATATATATGTGTGTGTGTGTGTGTGTGTTTTAACTTGAGACGAGTGAATTAGAGACGGTGCCTGTCCATTGATTCACTCCTCGGATGCCTACAGCAGCCAGTTGGCTGGAGCCAGGAACTCAATCCAAGCCTCTTATACGGGTGGCTGGAACCCAGCTAGTTGCATAATCACTGTTGTCTCCCACTGTACATTAGTGGGAAGCTGGAGTCACAGACTGAAGCTAGGGATCAAATCCAGGTTTATTTAGGATGGGACGCAGGTGTCTAATGGTAAATTGATTGCTAGGACCAAATGCCCACCCTCTGCAATGATATTTTAAATGAGCAGGGATACCTAGAGGATATTAATTTAAGTGAAATATGTCAAATACAGGAAGACAAATACTCTAATTATGTGGAAGCTAAAAAAGCTGATCTCAAAGCAGAGGTGAATCTTTTGCTGCATCAGTTAAGACATTACTTGGGATACTGTTGTGTATTGGAGTTTCTGCGTTTGAGTCCTGGCTCAAGGACTCAAGGAGAGATAGAAAGAGAGCTCTTCCGTCTGCTAGTTTACTCACCAAATGACTTTAGTGGAACTGAGCTGATCCAAAGCTAGGAGCCAGGAACCTCTTCTAAGTCTCCCCATGTGAGTGTGGGGTCCCAAAGACTTGAGCCATCCTCCACTACTTTGCCAGGCCATAAGCAGGTTCCTGGATCAGAAGTGGAGTAGCCAGGACTTGAACTGCCACCCATAGAGCATGCTGGCACTGTAGGCAGAGGATCAGCCATCCGTTTGGCCTGTGGTTCTATTTCTGATTCCAGGCAGCAGGTGCTAACTCAGGTCAGGTACTTTGATCCCTGCTACCCCCACATGAGAACTTGAATTTTGGGCTCCTGGCTTCTGTCCATCCCAGCTGTGACTGCTGGAGGCATTTGGGGAAGTGAACTGAAAAATGAATGACTTGTTTGTCTCTGTACTTTTTAACTACAAATTAAAAAACTCTCCTCAGAAACAGTGTGCAGAATGTATTTTGTGGCTCTTGGGACACTGACCATGTGTTCCAGAGCGACTGGCTTGAGCCCTGACCAGTCCACTAGAAGTTGTGTCTGGGAGGCAGCACGTGACGACTGCAGTGCTCAAGTCCCTGACGCCTGCCTCAGACTGCCAGATGGAATGCTGGCTCCTGGCTCTTGGCTTCAGCCTGGCTCACACAGGCTGTGGTGGGTACTTGGGAGTGATCCAGCAGATTAGAAGATCTCTATCTTCCAGATAAATAAAGAGAATTAAGTAAATAATAGTAAATAAAGTAGGGGTGTGCATCTGCTGAGGTGATTAAGTTGCTGCCTGGGGGGGGCTGATACGATAGCCTAGTGGCTAAATCCTTATCTCGCATGCACCAGGATCCCATAGGGGTGCCAGTTCACATCCCAGCTGCTCCACTTCCCATTCAACTCTGTGCTTGTGGCCTGGGAAAGCAGTGGAGGACGGCACAAAGCCTTGGGACCCTGCACCCATTTAGACAACACTGACAAAGCTCTTGGCTTAGAATCAGCTCAGCTCGGGCCGGTGGGGTGGGGGGGGGACAGCCCTGCGGCTTAAGTCCTCGCCTTGAACATGCCAGAATCCCATATGGGTGCTGGTTCTAATCCTGGCAGCTCCACTTCCCATCCAGCTCCCTGCCTGTGGCCTGGGAAAACAGTCGAGGATGGCCCAAGGCTTTGGCACCCTGCACCTGTGTAGAATACCCGGAGGAAGTTCCTGGCTCCTGGCTTCGGATCTGCACAGCATCGGCTGTTGCGCTCACTTTGGGAGTGAATCATCAGAAGGAAGATCTTCCTCTCTGTCTCTCCTCCTCTCCATATATCTGACTTTCCAATAAATAAATAACTCTTTAAAAAAAAATCAGCTCAGTTCTGGCTGTTATGGCCACTTGGGGAATGAATCAGAGGATGGAAAAATCTCTCTGCCTCCCTTTTTCTCTATAAATATGACTTTCCGATAAAAAGATGATTGAGGAATGTTTAAAAAAAAGAAAAAACAAACGACACTGTTTGGAACATCCACATCCCTGTCAGAGTGCCGGGCTGCCCTGTGCTTCCTATCCAGCTTTCCGCTAATGTGCACCCTGGGAGATTTCTCCATGTTTTGATCTGTCATTCTGTTTTTGTTTTTTAAGCTTTATTTTATAATACTTTTTTATTGGAAAGGCAAATATACAGAGAGGATAGAGGAAGATCTTCCACCCGCTGATTTGCTCCCCAAGTCACCACAGTGGCTGGAGCTGATTCAGCCTGAAGCCAGGAGCAGGAGCTTCTTCTGGGTGTCCCACATGGGTACAGGGTCCCAAGGCTTTGGACTATGCTCTGCTGCTTCCGCAGGCCACAAGCAGGGAGCTGGACGGGAAGTGGAACAGCCGGGATATGAACCAGTGCCCATATGCAGATGCAAGGCAAGGCTTTAGCCAGTAGGCTGTTGCACCTGGCCCTGTCATTCTGTTTTTAAGATTAAAATAAAACAGAAAACAGGATGGTAATTACCAGAGGCTGAAAAGGGAACGGGCAGAGAGAGGATGGTTAATATGCCCAGGGATAAAGTTGGATATGGATAATAACTTTTAATGTTCTTTAATATGGTAGAGTATCTGGTAAAGAGCAGTGAGTTGTGTATTGCATAATAACGAGCAGAGGACTTAGAATGTTCCAAAGCAAAGAAATGCTGAGTGTTTGGGCTGGCACCTGGCATAGTGGATAAAGTCACCACATGCAGTACAGACGTCCCGTATAGGCACCAGTTCCACACCTGGCTGTCCCACTTCCAGTCTGGCTCCCTGCTGTGTACCTGGGAAAGCAGTGAAGATGGCTCAAGTGCTTGGGTCTCTGCACCCATGTTGGGGACCCAGAAGAAGCTCCTGGCTTTGACTTGGCCCAACCCCAGCCATTTTGGCTATTTAGGAAGGGAGCCCAATGGATAGAAGATATCTCTCTCTCTCTTTAACTCTTTCAGCTGAATAAATAAATCACCCAAAAAGAAAAAGGAGTTCTCAGTTTGGTGGTAAGTTCTTTTTCTAAAAAAAGAAGAGGAAATGCTAAATGTTTGTGGTGACGGATATGCCAGTCACTCAGATCTAATCAACACACATTGTGCTGAGATCACACTGTACCAAATGACTGTGTATAATTAAGTGTCCATTAGAAACAGAGACAAAGTGAGATTGTGCCTTGGAAATTCTGACCCATTTTCAGATTGTGGCACTAGACAATGAGTTGTGAGCTCCCAGTCTCTTGCCATGCAAGAGTTAACCCGAGAACTCTCTGGTTGGTTGGCTGTAACCTGAAGGCTGAAGCAAACTCAAGCTGATTCCTCAGCCTGAGAATATGCTTAGAGGAGTAAAGCAGCCTCCTGCAGGGTCTCAGCATATGTTGCCTTAGCAGTAGAAGAACATTTTCCTGAATGCCAGTTAAGACTGAGCTAAGCCCAGCGTAATAGCCTAATACCTAAATCCTTACCTCATATGGAATCCCATATGAGTACCAGTTTGTGTCCCTGCTGTTCTACTTCTTGCCTCCTGCTTGTGGTCTGTTAAAGCCCAAAGCTTTGGGACCTTGCACCCATGTGGGAGACTTGGAAAAAGCTCCTGGCTCCTGGCTCCTGGCTTTGGATCAGCTCCGCTCTGGCCGTTGCAGCCACTTGGGAACTAGTGGATAGAAGTTCTTTCTCTGTAAATCTGCCTTTCCAAATATATATATATATATAAATAAATCTTTAAAAAAAGAACACTCTGAGATGATATAGCCTGCAGAGCTGGGCAGATCATTTGAGAGACTAAATGAAGGACAGAGTTATAGAGAAAGAGGAAAAGACGTTTTGCATCCACTGGTTCCCTCCCCAAATGGCTGAAGTGGCTGAGGCTAGGCCAGAGTGAAGCCAGGAGCTTCACCTATATTTCCCATGTAGGGTGGCAGGGTCCCAAGTACGTGAGACGCTTTCTGCTGTTTTCTCAGGTGGATTAACAGGGAGCTAGGTCAAAAGTGGAGCAGCTGGGATTGCAACTGACACCCATATGGGAACTGCCGCTGCTTCAGGCAGCAGCTTAACCAACTTTGCCTCCACACTGGCCCCTCTTGTCTTCTATGTACGATTGGTCTAGATGGTGTCTTGATGTGGGGCTGTGGCCTGGTGCCTTCTCATTAAATGACTGCCACCTTTAGCAGATGTCTTCACCCTGTGATCACCTGTGAGTTCTCTAAACTTGGGTCTTGGTGACATTCTAGAACATGGTTGTGCTTTCTGACTCCGGTGCTTCACCTCTCTTTTGGTCCATCTCTTAGTCTCTTGTTTCCTTTTGTATCTAATACAGCTTGGCTCCTTTTGTAGGCAGTATGTGGTTAGGGAGAACTTGGCTCTGAATTTTGAATTAACCACGTATGTCCAGGCTATCTAAATCTTTCACTCTAAACATCCTTAATCTCTTGTTGGTCAGACCCTCTGAAGTTGAGAAGGCATATAATAAAGATATCTATGATGGCATATGTTACAAAGGGAAATTTATATTTAGTGAGAGTTTTGAATCTTATACTAGAAGTTATTGGCTAAACACAAACAACAGCCAAAAAAAAAGTTGTTGGCTCATTTCAGGGATTTAGGTGTTGGAAAAATATGTGATTTGCTTTGCAGTTTCATAGACCTTACATTCTGCTTTCTGTTTGTGCAGCTATTGTGACTGATGTTTTCCAAGGATCCATGCGGATCTTCACCAAAAAGCTACCCCATCCTGATCTGGTGAGTAGATTGGGCAGGATTGGGCTGGTCTGTGGTGCCTGAGAGGGCTTAGGGGGCCTGATTGACGTTTCGAGAACTGGCAATGCTGCTGATCTCTAAGCAGGTTCTGCAGAGCCCTGCCGGTTGCAGGTGGGCTGCTTTGATTTCGGCCCTCGAGTGGTGCTGGTGTATATTTTCAGGAGCTACATTTTCTGGATGCTCTGAGAGGTTACTTCCTTTTTTAAAAAATTTTATTTTTTTATGTTTATAAATTTTATTTTTTATAATGATTACATGGTGGATCGGGGTGGGAATGTTTGAGGTTTAGGGAAAATTGGGTATATTTATTGCTTCCAAATTTGTTATTTCTTCTTGTTACTGGGGCAAGGGGAGAGGCAAAGGGGGAACCACTCATGACTTTGCACACATCCTAGTACCCAGGGATGAGAAACTGCCACCTCATATCAACCCAGAGTCTCAATGTGTACATATTCCTAAGGTTCTGTCCAAGTGGTTTGGATAGTACTGAAATGCTGCCAGATCTCGGTAAATGGAGCCAGTGGACATTGGGAGGGTGACATCATCCTTGGATTGGTGAGATCAGCTGCATTTTAGAGGTTACTTTCATAATTGGTATGTGAGCAGAGAATCTCCCAGAAGGAAACTCACTGGTTCTTGAGTTGGTCCAGGTGGCGCTGCAGTGTGCAGAACTACCCAGCCCCTGGGGTCCCCTCTTCAACCCCCTTGGATGAGGGAGGAACGCGCCGATCTTGTCTGATCTCGGAAGCTAAGCAGGGTCGGGCCTGGTTAGTACTTGGATGGAAGACAGTCTTTCTTTCCTCTCATCCTGCTTCTAGCCAGCTGAAGAGAAAGAGCAGCTGCTGCACAACGATGAGTACCAGGAGACAATGGTGGAGTCCACCTTTATGTACCTGACGCTGGATCTTCCTACCGCCCCACTCTACAAGGATGAAAAGGAGCAGCTCATCATTCCCCAGGTCCCCCTCTTCAACATCCTGGCCAAGTTCAATGGCATCACCGAGAAGGTAGCCCATTGGCACGTGACCTTCATCTTTCTTGACTTTGACATTGTTGTTTTGACCTTGGAAATTGCCGTGTGTGTGTGTGTGTGTGTGTGTGTGTGTGTGTGTGTGTGTGTGTGTGTGTGTGTGTGTGTGTGTATTTATATATATGTGTGTGTGTGTGTCTACTATAAACTATATTATCTTTATTGATCCTCCTTGCCCCCTTGGAGTTCTCAGCTGATTAAGCCCACCCTTACCTTACAGTGCTTCCTCTTATGCTTCTCTTAAAAGGGGAGTCTTCATAATATGAGCAAACTACACACAGGTTTCAAAGTTCGATTCAAATTTTTATTAACTTTGTGAAGCACCTGCATACTTCCCTTTAAGCTTTCTGCTTACCTCTCGGTAGTATAGAGAAAGGGAGGATATTTAAGACAGTAGAAACTCAGAAAAGTAGGAAAATATTTCTGTCTTCCAAAAAATCTAGTTACAGTGACATTAAAGTGAAAAAAAACCTAAAATATAAAAAAAGAAATAATTCATTCTTACTGTAATATCAAGAATTTTTAAAAATTTCCTTAGATAGTCATTTTCTTGATTTCTAACTTTAATTCCATCCTTCTTTTTTTGTGTTTTAAAAGGGAAAATAACTTTGGTTTTGGAGAGTGGGTGGGCCTCCAGTCTTGGAATTTCTGGAACTGTATTGGAACTGTGTTGTGGTGCCAGCAGCCTTGGGAACATTGAACATGTCATGGCAGGTGGCCATGGTGATAATGTCACTGGTCTGGATGTCCCAGCAGCAGAGGGACAGGTGCATGACGCATGGTGCTTCTCAGAGTACTTGTACTTACGGGTATAGCGGAGGTAGTCCCTCTTGGTGACAGCGGTTCTCTGCATCTTCATCTTGGTCACCATGCCAGGCAGGTGAAGACATTTCCAGTGAGAGGGGCATTTCTTGTCAGCGTGGGCGCCCTCAGCAGCCTCCCTGGATGTCTTGAAGCCCAGACCAGTGTTCTTGTGGGAGTGTCTGTTCGGGAGTTTCTCCCAGCAGGAGCGTTTTTCTGAAAGGTGATCGGCTGCTTCTGGTAGGAACTCCCAGCCTGAATGTCTGCCATCCTCCCAGTGGCTTGATAAAAAGCAGTGCTGGTGGCCCAGCACAGTAGCCTAGTGGTTAAAGTCCTTGCCTTAAGTACACTGGGATTCCATATCGGCACCAGCTCTAATCCTGGCAGCTCCGCTTCCCATCCAGCTCCCTGCTGTGGCCTGGGAAAGCAGACGAGGACGGCCCAAAGCCTTGGGACCCTGCACCTGCCTGGGAGACCCAGAAATACTGGTGCACTCTCCACCTGAAGCTGGAACCTATATGACTTGCTGTGATCTCAGGCAATGGCTTTACCCTCTATGCCACAATGTCAGCTCCAGTTAAAATATTTTAATCAGCATTAGCCAGAGTATGGATTGCAAACCTCATGTGCGGTTTCTGGGACCAGGTAGCTTCTGGATTCCAAGTATAGGCCTGAATGGAACAGCTTATTCTCTTCTTTCGGTATCTAGTTTAAAAAATACTTCTTCTCTTTCTAGGAATATAAGACTTACAAAGAGAATTTTCTGAAGCGCTTCCAACTCACCAAGCTGCCTCCATATCTCATCTTTTGTATCAAGAGATTCACTAAGAACAACTTCTTTGTGGAGAAGAATCCCACAATTGTCAACTTCCCTATTACGTGAGTTGCACCTTGCTTCCCTCTCCACGGCAGAGAGCCTGGTCTTAGAGGAAGGCAGGAATTCTACCCCTCCACGCACCCTCGTCAGCACTTCTCCCCTGCATCAAGCACTTTTCCCTTACACATTCCCAGAGTGCACAGGGGAGAGCATCAGAGTGGGGCTGCCTGCAGGTGTTCCTGACGTGTGTGCGTCCTTCCAGAATACCTTCATTCATGGAGTGATGGAGGAGGGCTCTGTTCCTTGTAAGTCCCGACTACAACAGTTTTCTGTTAATGCGCACTCTGAGATGGCAGGTGATGGCTCGTGAACTGGGGTCCTGCCACCTATTGTAGGGAGACCAAGGTTGAGTTTTGGCACCTGCCTGGCTTTAGCTTGGGCTTGGGCTTAGCCCTAGCTGATACAAACTTTTAAAGATCAAACCAATGGCTAGAAAGTCTCTCTTCCTCTTCCTTTCTTTCTCTCTGTGCCTCTCTCCTCTCCACCTCTCCCTCCTCCAGTCCCAATTTTTTGTTTCTTTTGGATTTATTTATTTTATTGGAAAGAAAGATATATAGAGAGAAGGAGACACAGAAAAAGATCTTCCGTCTGCTGGTTCACTCCCCAAGTGGCCACAACAACCAGAACCAAGCTGATCCAAAGCCAGGAGCCAGGAATCTCTTCCAGATCTCCCACGTGGGTGCAGGGTCCCAAGGCTTTGGGCTGTCCTCGTCTGCTTTCCCAGGCCACAAGCAGGGAGCTGGATGGGAAGCGAGGCTGCCGGGATTAGAGCTGGTGGCCATAAGGGATCCCGGCACGCTCAAGGCGAGGACTTTAGCTGCTAGGACACCATGCCGAACCTGTAATTTACAGTTTTTACAGGAAATATTTGTTGTAATATTTTACCTTGCAGTACCTGTTATACATTTATACAGCTGACTGATAGAATTAAACAAATTTAATGTTTCTTAGCCTGAGTTGAAGGACTTTTGTCAGTAGTTGGCTCTAACAATCAGTTCTGAGAAATTTGGAAGCTGTGGGGCCCATGAGAGGAGGGAGCTAGGTTGCAGAGGGGAGTACAGCTGATGGCAGAGAAGGCAGAGGACAGGTAGCTGCCTTGGATCCCGTTTCCTGTGCAGATGGGGTCCAGATGTGTTTCCTACTCTGAAACCTTGATTACATTCCCCTCTGTGCTGAAGCTTCCTTGGAGGAGTTTAGGTTGCTCATGAATGTTACTGCTACCTGACTGAAGGAAAAAGAAGCCAGGCCTGAAAATACAAAAAAGTAAATCTGTGTGGGTGCCTAGTTTGTCATACTGAGTTATAATGGTGACCTATGGTAGGAGTCCTCATAGTGTTTAATCCTGCAAGAACCAGGCCAAGACCAGGTACTGACTGAATACTGCAGCTACAGCTGAATGCACAAGTAGAACCGCGGGCGAGACCTTTTCCCCTGTGTGCCTCACGTCTCAGCAGACAAAGTGACTGTTGTTCTCTTACCAGAGACAGACTTGGATTTAATGATTATGCTCAACTTGTAAGTAGAGCCAGGCTCCAGCTCAAGTCACCATTAGTTCAGGGCCTGCACTTTGCCTGCTAGATCTTGTCCGTCTGTGTATGTCTTTCTGAAGCTAAGTGACAAAGCAGAGCAGGAGGGACAGAGAGCTCCCACATGCTAATTTTTTGCCTACACAGTCTGTAATGGCTGGTGCTGGGGCAGGCCAAAACCAGGAATTCAGCTGTATCTTCCACATAGATAGCAGCTGTCACTATTGCCTGCCAGAGTCTGCATTAGCAGAAAACTGGAGTTAGCAAGCCAGAGCCGGGTATCAAACCAGCACTTCGTATTGGGACATGGATGTCTTAACCAGTGTTTATACCACTAGGCTAAATACCCTCCCCTAGGCATGCTTTTAAAGTATGTATTATATATATTTGAAAGGCACAGTGATAAAGATCTATCTGCTGATTTCACTCCTTCACGGGTTGCAAAGATTAGGGTTGGGCTAGTCTGAAGCCAGGAACCAGGAGCTCCATCCTGGTTTCCCATGTAGGTAGTAGTGACCCCAAGTACTTAAGCTACTGTCTGCTGTTTCCCAGGGTAGGAACCAAGTAGCCACAGGGGTCTCCCAAGCAGCAGCTTAAACTGCTGCATCACAATGCCTACCCCAGATATGCTTTATTTCTTTCTTTTTTTTTTAAGATGTATTTATTTATAAAAATTTATTTTTCTTAGGCAGACTTTTTTAAAATCCCAAGTCTTTGGGTTGTACTAGACTGCTTTCCCAGGACACAGTTAGGGAGCTGGATGGCAAGCAGGCCACCAGGATTAGAACCAATGCCCGTATGGAATCCTGGTGCATGCAGGGCAAAAACTGTAGCTGCTAGGCTATTGTATCAGGCCCCAGACATGCTTTTTTGCATTTTTTTTAAGATTTATTTATTTTTATTGGAAAGGCAGATACACAGAGAGGAGGAGAGACAGCGAGGAAGCTCTTTCGTCCGATGACTCACTCCACAAGTGAGTAAATGGCTGATGCTATGCCGATCCGAAGCCAGGATCCAGGAACTTCCCACATGGGTGCAGGGTCCCAAAACTTTGGGCCATCCTCAACTGCTTTCCCAGGCCACAAGCAGGGAGATGGATGGAAAGTGAAGCTGCCAGGGTTAGAACCGGCACCCACATGGGATCCCGGCACATTCAAGGCAAGGACCTTAACCACTACGCTGTCATGCTGGGCCCCAGACATGTTTTTAAAAGGTGTTTTCTCCATGGAGCCTGTCATTGTTTTTTGGCAACTTTTGTGAATTCCAGTAAACCTAGACTTTTTGGCTTGGCAAACCGTGAGAGTTAGGGTCCTAATAGAAGGCTTTGTGATTGTGTAGGCATTTTTTTCCATGTCTCATATCCTGGCTTCATTTTCATCATCACCAGAAACGTGGACCTGAGAGAATACCTGTCTGAAGAAGTCCAGGCAGTCCACAAGAACACCACCTACGACCTCATTGCAAACATCGTGCATGACGGCAAGCCCTCGGAGGGCTCCTACCGCATCCACGTGCTGCATCATGTGAGTGCAAGGGTGCATGGCTGAGACAGGTGGGTGGCCAGAGTGCCTGTGGCAGCCCAGAAGCCTTTATCCCCCTTGTTCATGGAAACATGAAGAAAGGTGGGTTTTGCCTTATTTACAGTTCTGTTTTCATAGGCCAAAGGCCACAGGCTTACATGGTGGGCAGTGCTTCTGGGGACACTTTCCTGACTACCTATCACTGCTAGAGTCTGAGTTGAGGCTGTGGAGGATGGGAGCCCATGCCCCTCGCCTCTCCTGGTTCTTGTCACTGCACATCTTACTGAGCGTTAGAGGGTATTTTCTCCTCTTCTGGATCACCACAATTTTTTCCCTAAAATTTAAAAAAAAAAGTTATTTGAAAGGGAAAACAGTAGAAACAGCTTTTTTTTTTTTAAGATGCATTTATTTGAAAGTGTGTATGTGAGAGAGAACTTCCATCCACTATTTCACTACCTGCATGATCTCAACAGCTAGGACGGTGCAGACTGATACCAGGAGCTGAGAACTCTGTGTGGGTTCCCCATGTGGGTAGCAGGGGCTCAGGCACTTGGGCCATTGTTTGCTGCCTTCCCAGGTGCATTAACGGGAAGGCGGATTGGAAGCAGAGCAGCAGGGACTCAGACCTGCACTGCCATACGGGATACTGGCATTGTGAGCATCTGCTTCAGCCTCTGCACCACAGTGCATCATTTGCTGCCTTGTAGGATACATGAACAGGAGACTGGATTGGAAATGGAGTAGCTAGGACTTGAAATGGTGAGCATCCCAAGGGTGGCATAATCTGTACCACAGTGCCCACATTTTTAAAAAAGATTTATTTATATATTTGAAAATGAGGTTCAGAGAGAGAATCTTGTATTCCCTTGTTCACTCCCCAGATGACTGCAACTGCCAGGGTTGGGCCAGGCTGGAGCCACAAGCCAGGCTTCTTCCATGGTTCCACATGGGTAACAGAGGCTTAGGTACTTGGGCCATCTTTCACTGATTTCCCAGGTCATTAATAGGGAGCTGGATCGGAAATGGAGCAGCCAGGACACAAATCTATGCCTGTACAAGATGCCAGGGCTATAGGCAGTGTCTTTATCCGTTGTGCCACAATGCCGGCTATGTTCCCCTGGCCCTCTCCTCAGTTCCTCAGTCTTTTTTTTTTTTTTTTTTTTTTTTAAGATTTAGTTATTTTTACTGAAAGATTTATAGAGAGAAGAAGAGAGAGAAAGAAAGATCTTCCATCTGCTGCTTCACTCCCCAAGTCACCTCAATGGCCAACACTGTACCAATCCAAAGCCAGGAGCCAGGAGCTTCTTCCAGGTCTCCCACATGGGTGCAGGGTCCCAAGGCTTTGGGCCATCCTTGACTGCTTTCCCAGGCCACAAGCAGGGAGCTGGATGGGAAGTGGAGCAGCTGTTACATGAACATATGGGATCCTGCCCATATGGGATCCTGGCGCATGTAAGTCAAGGACTTTAGCCACTAGGCCATTGTGTTGGGCCCTTTCTCAGTACTTCTTAAAAGCATACAGAAATGGTTGAGACTCCATTGTACTTCTTGAAATCCTTGACTAGAATTGAGTTCTCATTTGACACTACCAACACTTTTGTTAATCCTGTCAGGCCCAAATGCGACTATGTGTTGCCTTTGTGATTCCTGCCAGGTGCTATCCAGCAGCTGTCCTGGGTTTTCTAACCCTGGGCTGACCTCCCTCCCTTCTACACCATTATGGCTTTAGGGAGCAGACTAACCCAGCTCTTCGTGTGCTCTGCAGGGCACGGGCAAGTGGTATGAGTTACAGGACCTGCAGGTGACTGACATCTTGCCGCAGATGATCACACTCTCTGAGGCCTACATTCAGGTGGGTGTGCACCGAAGCCCACGGTGGGATTGAGCTAGAGTCCACTTGGCAGTCCTGGGGCTTGTTGGATGTGTTGATTGAGATGAGGCCACGTGCGATGGCCCTGAAAGTCAAGCCGACCAAGATGGTCAGAAACTAAGAGCAGGGCAGGGAAGCAGGGCTGGATCATGAGTGAGCCCAGAGGCGATGTTCATGAGCAGCTGAGCTTTGCGGATGCCCAGCCTGCTGTCGTGGGGAGAGGCCTGCCCTCATCCAGGAGGCCGGCTGGGAGTCACTCCTCTAGCTTGGCCTGCGGCCGCAGGTGGTGCTAACACCTTCTCTGCGAGGCCACAGCCTTCTCCGTTCTTTCAGATGGAGTGCTGGCCACGTCGGGTTACTGTTTTATGTTCAGTGAGTTGAGAGTTCTGTTTTTGTGACAGCCTTAGGAGCTGGCCACAGAGGGAAGGTTGACACTAAGAAAAGCTTTGTAAGAGAGAAAGCTCTTGTGTTTCTGAGGCCTCACCTAAAGCTATAGATGGGCCTCGTGTCCTTTCTCAGAAAGGATAGGTAGAAAAGTGCAAGTGGAGTGAAAGGGAATATTCTGGAAGGCTGTGGGGGATTTCAGGGCTGCCGCTACGCAAGGCGCAGGAGGATGAGTTGTCTCCTGCCTGGCTGGTACAGGGTAGGTTTTGGGAAAATATTTGGTAGCTGAATGTCTCCTAAACTGGCTCGTTACTGTTTTCATTTCTTGCAGATATGGAAGAGACGAGATAATGATGAAACCAACCAGCAAGGGGCTTGAGGGAATCAAGGGGGCTTTAGCTGAAGTTGGGGGAATGAGAGCCCTGTGGCAGTGGTTGAGCTCAGGCGACGTGGCAGCTTTCCCAGGAGCCTGGCGTCCCGGCTGTGAATGCGTGTAGATGTGCAGAGCACCAGAGACGCCTGCCCGCCTGGGGTGGCACTGCGCTGTCACCAGCTGGCTTTGATCAGCTTGGGTACGTTGACACGCCTTTCTCCTTCCTGTCTAGCACCCTTTCAGCGTCAGCAGACAGAAGTCTCCCAGCTGTGTGTAATTTATTACTGAGGAACTGGGAGAATCTGAAGGGCAGGTAATTCCTTCCACACGTCCAGCCTCGTGACCTTGGAGTAAGCATAATGCCAGCTACAGCCTTCTCCCTTGTGGATGCTTTTCCTGTGGCCCTTTTCATTTCTGACATGTTTTTTTGAAATGAATTAAATATTTTCCTGTTTTTAAACCAGCCTTTTTTTTTTTTTAAAGATTTATTTTTTATTGGAAAGGCAGATATACAGAGAGGAGAGACAGAGAGGAAGATCTTCTGTCCGATGATTCACTCCCCAAGTGAGTGCAACAGCCGATGCTATGCCGATCCGAAGCCAGGAGCCTCTTCCGGGTCTCCCACGCGGGTGCAGGGTCCCAAAGCTTTGGGCCATCCTTGGCTGCCTTCCCAGGCCACAAGCAAGGAGCTGGATGAGAAGTGGAGCTGCCGGGATTAGAACTGGCGCCATTAGAATATGAGATCCTGGGGTGTTCAGGCAAGGACCTTAGCCGCTAGGCCACGCCGCCGGGCCCTACCATAACCTTTTGTTTTAGGATATTGCAAGGCAGAATGGCAGATCTTCATACACTGGTTCACTCCCCAAATGGCTGAAGCTGGACCAGAGCGAAACCAGGAGCTAGAAACTCCCGTCAGGGTCTCCCACGAGGGTAGCTGTGGCCCAAGTGCTTGAATCAAGCTGCCCACCATGGTGCATTAGCAAGAAGCTGGATTGGAAGTGGAGGAGCCCAAACTTGAATTGGTGGTCCAAAGTGGGATATGGGCATCCTTTTTTGTTTTTCGGAGGCGAGGAGGATGATGTTTACATAATTGAGAAGGATGTGTGCTTGTGTGGACCACTGATTAGAGTGGGAAGGGGTCAAGGATTAGGAGAAAGTAGATGAGACCATTGTTTCCAATTTTCTTTTTCTTGTATCTAGGGGAAGGGGAGAAGCCACACCCAGTATCCTAACTGTGTCAATACCCAAGGGATAGGAAATAGCCACCTAATGTCATCCCAGGGTCCCCCATGTGCAGCATGCTCCAAGGGTTCCACTCAAGTAGTTCTGAAATGCTGTTGATTTTGTTGCTTCACGGTTGAGAAAATCCTTCCAAGGTTCACTGGCTGACATAGTTCACCTTAGAGTCTCCATTCACCCAGATACTTGCTGTCAACTCTTGGCTGAGAGAGTTGTCCAATTTGTTCTGCCTTGTGTCCTCTACAGGCCCCAATGGATTGCCATATCCTCTATGTGCATCTGGGCATGCCATCCCAGGCTTGAGCAAACAAGGAGGCCCAGTTTTGACTCATGCACTCCACGATCAGATCACAGATCGTGCAATTCTCCCCATGATTGGAGTTCTGTGTCCAGCTGGTCAGTTGGGGCTGTCTCCAAAGAAATCTCGTCTCAGGTGACCTCAGATCTGACTCCTGTGTATGCTTGCCAGTATGGGGTCTGGCTCAGTTCATCACCCACATCAGCCTACACACAGACTGGTAGTTGGAATTGCTGGGTCTGTTCTGTCTCCAGCAGTTGTGTCTCTTATATAAACCAGTAGATGCTGTGGCTCAGCCCAACCCAGCCCACAACACACTTGGCCCTTATGTACACCAGTGGGAACTGCAGCCCAATTGGAACAACTCCCAATTACCCCCACCAGGCCTGCCACCAGCCCTGGTTCCTGCACAGACTGGTATGTGCAGCACAGTTGTCCGGTTTGTCTTGCATCCCATTTGGCTTTTGTACACACCAATGGGTGCTATAGCCTAGTTCAGCCCAACTGACCCCCATATACAGCCCACACTTATACTGGCGGGTGCTACTGCCTATTCAGCCAAGTCCATCCCCAGCCCTTGTTCTCATGTTCCCCAGTAGGAGCTGTAACTCATCAGAGGGGTGCCCCTGGTCCCAGCATTTGCCAGCTGATGCTGTGACAAAACCCAAGTACCCTTCACTTACTCTGGCTCATGTATGTATCAGTGTATGTAGTCGCTTTGCACAGCAACTAACCCAGTTCACAAGCAAGCCAATGAATGCTGTAGTCTTGCCTAACCTGGTCTGACCCTGGTCCCAGTTCTCGTGCTTACCAGCAGGAGCAGTGGCACAGCCGGAGAGTCCTAGCTGCCCTCCTACCAGGCTCACCCCCCATCCTGGGGCTTAATGGGTGCTGCAACCCAGTCTGGCATGGCCTGCCCTACTTTGTTATTGCTGGTGGGTGTTGTAACCTGGCCTGACCCAGGCCAGCCTGCTCCCAGTTCTAACTCATGCTTTTCACCAGTATTTTTTTTTTTTAATATATAAAGATTTATTTATTTGAAAGGCAGAGTTGCTGAGAGAGGGAGAGACAGATATTAAATCCACTGATTCCCCAAATGGCTGCAGTGGCTGGAGCTGGGCTGATCTAAAGCCAGGAGCTGCATCTGGCTCTCCCACGTGGCTACAAGGGCCCAAGCACTTGAGCTATCTTCTGCTTTCCCCAGTGCATCAGCAGGGAGCTGGATTGGAAGTGGAGTGGCCAGGACTCAAACTGGCCACCCCATGGAGGTGTCGGCACTGCTGGCGGCAGCCTAACCCACTGGATCACAGCGCCAACCCCTCTTCTGGATTTTCAACTCTGTAGAAGTGTTAGTAACTAACGGTAAAGCCAATCTCTGGGGAACCTTTGTTGAGGGGAAGAAGGAGGACAATTTTCTGTCAGCCCCACCCTCTGGAAGGCTGTGGTTCTGGTGGGATGAGGCTGCAAGCGCAGTCTGTGAGCCTGCGACAGAGGACTGCCCTTGGTGCTTGCTGGAGGGGACAGGAGTGGTGCTGACAGGGACAGACGAGGTGGAGGCAAGGTCGCAGTCACATGCTGGGGTCTGGTGTCCACCAGTGCGAGGTCCTTTTGAAAGAGGGAGGTGAGGAGAGTGATTGTGGGCAGATGGCAAGGACCAGAGTTCAGCCTAGCTCCTGCTTTGCAGCTCAGCACCAGGAGGACCAGGGAGGTGGGACCAGAGCCTGGATTCCCCTTGTCAGTCCACTGCCCTTCCTGTTTCAGCAGGGACGGCTGGGAGCTCTGGGGCCTGGGCAAAAGAGACTGACCCTGTCCTGGGGGGGTTAGGCGTCAGTTTTCCTAATGGTGCCACCAGAGGCCCTCAGCGAGAGGAGGTGAAGGGAGAGATGAAGCCGCCTGCCTGTCCCACCCCAGACCCTCCTGAGACCCTGGACTCACCTGCACAGCTGAAGCCTCATCAGAAGTTGGGATTGTGGATGCACTGGAGAGGGCTGAGCATGGTCACACACACCCCCAGGGCCTGCCACAGGGGCAGCATTAGGGCCCATCCTGGCACCCTTTGCTGCCTATTCCCCATTGTAGGAAGACACACAGTAACCTTTCTCCCCACCCCAGCCCGGGGAATGCACAGTTCTCCAGACAGTGGCCTGCTGCCTCAGTGGATGCTCTTGGGGTGTCCTGGACCCCTCAGGTCACAGACTGAGTCATGGTTGGGGTACTTGACCCAGAAGACCCTCATGTGCCCCTGCCCTTGGGGCTGCCTAGGGAGATTCAGGTGTACCTGGCAGGTGGTACGGGTATCCCAGTCGCTGGAAAGCATACTCAGCAGCTTGGGCGTGTGCTGCTCCACAAACTGCTCACACTGTAGGAAAGCACAGACACACTAGGCACAAGGCAGGGCCAGGCCCTGCACTTGCCTCTCCTGCCTGCCCTGGTTTATGGCACTGCTCCCTGTTCACTATGGGTGTAAGCTAATGGGCGCTGGCGCAGCCTCAGGTTACCATCCCATTACTGCCCCTGAGCGTCAGCAGGGTCCCTGGGCCTCTACAGGTGCACTGTCCTGAGTCAGGTACACTGCCCGTAATGGGGGCAGTGGGGTGCACAAGAGCTTGGGGAGAAGGCCAGGTCTTCTTTAGGATCCAGCTGGCCCTGGCATTATGCATCTGAAATCCACAAGACCCTCGTGGATGCCTCCCACCCCAAGGACACCATGTGGCACCCCTGGATGATAGCCATGGGCAGGCAGCACACCCCAGGACTGGAGTGGAGACTGGGTCCCTTGAACTCCAGTGTACCTGCTCCTCACCTTTTTTCTGTCAAACTCAGGGCTGAGGCAGGCCTGGCGCATCACCTGCGGTATGGCCTGCTCACTGTTGTTCCTGGCCTGGCTCATTACTGACATACAGAGATGGCATTCGGAATCTTGCAACAGCCACTCCCCTGGCAGGGTCTCCGGAGCGGGCAGGACTGGAGAGAAACCAGTGAAGGCCATCTTGGTGGGGTGTGGTGGTTTCATCCTCTCCATGTGGCCGGGGTACTGGAGGAGCACAGAGTAGTGCAGGGGGGAGGAGCTTGCAGAATGGGCCAAAGGTGGCGGGCAGCAGACTTACCTTGTCCACTGCTGTCCTCGCTGGAGCATCGGAGGACAAGGCCACAGACCAGCTGGGGCAGGACACGGCCCAGCAGCGCGTCCAGCAGGAGGACAGTGTAACGTTCAGCCAAGCACTGGCAGATGCCACCCGCCACCAGGGGTACCACGTGGCACACCTGGGCCACAGCCAAGGCCAGCACACCCTGAGGTGGGGGCAGAGAGAGGGCAGGATGGGACCTTCCTTGGCCAGGCTCAGGGGCTGGGTGTTGGGCTCCAAAGCTCCTGTTGCTTCCCGGGAGGGACAGTGGGTGCCACAGGACTCTGAGGACTGAGCGGTTCTGACAGAGTCAGAACTCACCTGCAGCTACTGTGAGGGCAGAAGGCAGCAGGGCAACTGAGTCTGACTCCAATGGCCCTAGACTTGCTACGAGAGCATGGCTGGTCCAGAGGGGACGGGGTGGGGGCATCACCAGGACCACCAACAGCCTGGGCCAGTGCTGGAACAGGAGACTACATCTTCCCGCTCCGGGCCAAGTGCCCTCTTCTTTGTATGGGTGTGTTTGCTGCTCTCTGGCTCAGAGCCAACAGGTGCATGGTTTAAAGGAGCCCCTGCCCTCCCAATTGCCAAGACGGCTTCCAAGCCTGTGGTTCTGCTGCTTTACTCATCTACATGTCATGGTTGGCTTTGACCTTGCTCCTTTCGCAGCTCCTGCTGTACCCTAGGTTCCAGTGCTGAAGTGGAAGTAGAGCTCAGGGACATGCACTTTTCTGGATGTGGTACCTCTGGATGGCAGTGGCAGGGACTCCCCTTGAGCCTCCCCTCTTGTTAGGATGACCACAGTGGACAGCCCCTCCTGTGTGCAAGACTAGCTTGGGTCATGTCCCTTTCTTGACATGCAAAGCTCCCGGGACATGTGTCGTGGTTCCCCACCTCAGGGGCTGTCCCTCCTCAGGCACCTCTGCTGCCTGTGCCACCTGTCCACAGCCTGTCCCTTGCTGGCCTCACCCCTCCCCTTGGGTCCCAGTCTGGCCCACAGCCAGCAACACGCAGAGACCCCCAAGACTCAGAGGTCAGCCTCCTGGTGTCACACAGGCTTCTCCAGCTGAACATGGCCAGGAGGGACACTCTCTTGGTCTGCTGTAGCCTGTCCCTAAGGTCACCCATCTCAGCTGGGACCAAAGCCCGCAGGTATCACTGGGATTCCTTTATTGTTCTTGCTGCTGGAGCCCGTCCATTCCCAGGTCTGTCGAACCAATCTGCCTGAGTTGTCTCTGGTCCACCTCTCTTCATGATGTCTGCTGTGATTTTCTAAGCAACTTCCTCCTTCCTTCTCACCTTCCCCGGTTCATTGGCTTTCCATACCACCGGGAAGCAGCAGAAGCCCTTAAGATGCTATCAGCAGCAGTCAGAAGAGAACCTCTCCATGGACTGGCCAGCTTGGCCTAATCTGCACTCCCTCTGGTCTGCCCTCCCCTGTCCCTTGCACTGGCCAGAGATTGTCCTTGACTAAGGCCCTTGGTCCCGTGGGAGTTTCAGCTCAGCCATCCCCTGCTCAGAGCCTCTCCCTGACCTCCCACCCCCAGTCCCATCCCCCATGGCCATCCACTGCCTCATTTCATGTGAGTCCTTTGTTCTGCATTCTGCTGTCTCACCTCTGGAGAACCTCAGTGGCAGGTGACCTGTGGGATCCCATAGGGGAGGAGCTGCTGCACTGGATTATCCCCTGAGGACCCAGAACTGATGAGGCCCGTGGGCATGGCCACCCCAGGGCTGGAAAACTCCAAGTTGGACCTGGCACAGCAACTACCAGCACTGAGCAAACACCTGCTTTGTAAGAATTAGGGCAACTTGTCCAAGGAGACTCCAGTCTGTCTCATCCGTCTCCGTCCTTCAGTGTCTGCTAATCTGGCATATAGCAGGTGCTTCATGACTGTCATAAGGATTCTAGGCTGGCACCTGCAGGCCCAAGCCTGGCCTCTCAGGTTCCCTGGAGTGTGGGTCACGTACAGGTGGCTCTGCCTTTCCGGCTTGCTCGTGGCAGGGTTGGGAGCTGGAGTCAGGGATGCCTCACCTTGGGAATCACAGCCTGGACCCGCTTGAGAAGGGTCCTGCAGAGCCAGCAGAAGGGTAGAGGGATGGGGAGCTGCTGCTGGGACAGATCCTTGGGGAGAGAAAACGGGTACACATGGGGTTGGGGGCTCCTCCAGGCTCTGTCTCCCTGCTTCCTCCCCACCCCCTTTCTCTCCTTTGTGCCTCAGCCCAGCCTGGAGCATCTAACCTGTCTCCAGGCTTTGCCCTCTAGAGTTCAAGGGCCCCTGGGCCTTCGCTCCTGGCTCCCTATCTCACACCTGGTGAAGAGGTACTTCCTCACCTGGGTATGAGACCCGGGCTTCGCTGGGAGGGCCTCCAGCAATTTGGGGAGGACCAACTTGTCAGGCAAAGGATCTTGGGAAGGAGCTGCCATTCTGGGCTTCCGTTCCAGCTCTGGTGACCCGGGTGTGCACAGTCCTACATGCTGGCAGATGGCCTTTGGGCTCTAGGGCACAGGACAGGTAAGGAGTGGTTAGGGTAGGTAGGGAACCCCTGTCCTGCTCTGGCTGGCCCAAGGTTCAGAGGTGAAGGGCACCAACATGGGGTCTTGAGCAGTCTGGGACTGGCTGGGTAGGGTGCTGTAGATTAGAACTGGTGGGGGTTAAGCAAAAGGCAGAGATGGGGAGGTCCCATGGGAGCTTGGGGCAGGAGCCTGAGAGTGTGTGTTATTGAACTGAGCATACTTAAATGAGAATGGGCAAGAGTGTGAGCATGTGTGTCGGTGATCTGGCAGTAGGCCTCCATATACAGCCAAAAAGATCATAGGAAGCTGGGTGCCTAACTGAAGGACACTTGGTTTCCTGGGTTTGTTGTAGGCAGTGTGTGTGTTGTGTTGGGGCACTGTATGTGTGCTGGGTGCTATATGTGTGCTGTGTACTATGTGTGCAAGCATTGTGTTGGGGTATCTGGCATGGTGGACATGGGGCTGCATGGGGAGGCAGGTGGGCAGCAGGTCCGCAGGCCCTCACAATCTGGCTCTGGAAGTAGGCGATGGCCAGGGGGAAGTAGACGTCGAGCACGTGGTGACACTGGGGCACCAGCAGCTTCAAGGGGAGGCCATCGCACTCGTGTTCCATGAACTTCCGCACCGTTTCCTGGGAGGACAGAGAGGGGCTGGTCAGCCTGGCCAGTCTGAAATCTGCCCCCACTGGAGCTCCTGGACCCTGCCTGGCCTCTGCCCCGGGGAAAGACCATCTCTGGCCACACGACTGAGCACAGACTCAGCCTCACCCTCAACCTGGCCCCTTCTTCTCTGGCCCGTCCTTCATCTCCCAAACCCCAAGCTTCATTCCTGATCTCTTTCTGGGTCTCATCACCTGGAAAATGGCCTCCTTGGTCATCTTGATGAGAATGTTAACGATGTCTTCACATTCTTGGCACAGATCATCCTGGGAAGGGAGCATGGTCTGGGTAGGGGACAGGTGAAGCTCTCCCAGGGTACAGCCAGCAGCCCACCACCCCATAGCATCCCATCCCAACCCAGTGATCCTGTGCCACACCCTGTGAGCCCACCCCAGTGCCCTCTGTCGGAGACCCCAATCTCCACACATCCTTGGTAGTACTCACGGCTCCCACATGTCCCCAGACTTCCTGAAGACAGTGTCCCAGGGCTTTGCACTGCACTGCTTGCTCCAGGCTTTGGCACCAAAAGGCAGGGCCTTGAGCACAGGCCAAGGGTGAAACAGCCGACACAGCTGCACCGGGGTTGTGAGAGGAACACGGAAGCCTTAGTTGGAGTGAGGCTGCACCTGGCTCCCCGACTTCCCCCAGCCTCCAATGCCAGCTGGGCTGGGAAAAGTCACTAAACACGCTGGAGTCGGACAGCTCTGGGCTCCTGCTCTGGCACCTGCCAGCAGTGTGACCTTGGCCTCCGAGTCTCAGCTGCCTCGTCTTTAGAGCAAGGAGGCTGCTTAGATCTAGGATAATCCTTGGCAGGGGCCGGTGCTCAGGGAGGAATGGGGTCCCTCTGCACCTGCCCAGAGGGCAAGGGCGTGGGAAGAGGGGGCTGGGGAAACTCACCAGCACCTGGACCACAGAGGGCAGGCAGCAGCAGTGGCAGCAGCCACAGCGGTAGGTGTGACTTGCCCATGACCCCTCCAAAGCCCGAGTGCCCTGCTTGGGGCAGGTGCCCTTATAGCTGGGGGCGGGAGCCATGGGGGTGGCCATGACCTCTCTGTTTTCCTTCACCTTGGAGAGCCCTCCAGGTGTTCCGACCCGGCCCCTTCCCAGCAGGGACATTCCTGCCCACCTCCTCCCCCTGTCCTGGCTCCTAGCTCCTCCCCATGCTCTTTGCCCCCACCCCGACTCCCATGGGCTTGATTTGGGGCTCCCTCTCACCAAGTGGCTTTTGAGTTCCACCTCTCCTAGCTGTGGGGCCTGGGGAGCCGAGGGCAGGGTGGAGCAGCTGAAGTGGTCTCTCCACCTCCCTCTCCCCCCAAGTCCTCCTCAGCTCTTGTGCAATGGTTCTAAGAGTTTCCTGTCTGGCTCTTGACCCAGGGCAAGCACCAGAAGGGCCAACCCAGAACACCCCCACACCCAATTCTTACCTTTTCTTCTAGAAACATTTTTTGGGTTTTACATATTAGACAGAAGGCTTTCCCCATGAGAAAAAGCATGCCAAGAGATGAGGATGCGGAGCTGGCACATCTGTAGTCCCTCATGTCCCTTGGCACCCCTCCAGGGCTAGAGGTATGGCTGACGGCACAGGAGGAGCCGTCTATTGTGGCCGTAGAGGCTCTCAGGCCAGGGCCTCACCGCCTGGGACTCCCTTGGGAAGAAGCTTCCAGCAAGCACTGGGTTGACCCTCGTGCAAGTGCAGGAGAGCGTGAGCTCACCGACACCTCTCTGGGCAGGATCACAGTCAACTCACCCCTGTACGGAACCCCCTCCTTGGTGCAGGCCCCCAGGCATCCCTCTCCCAGAAGGCACTTCAGGGGCCAACATGGTGTGCAGGGCTGGCAGGAATGCCGTGATTCCTGGAAGCAACTGTGCCCAGCATGGTGAGTGACACACTCAAGGTCCTTCAAGGAGTCGCAGTTTCTGTTGGCCTCAGGCCCTTGTCAGGTTGACAAACAGTTGCCCTCAGGGGAGCTGACTAAGAGTGTGACTGACATGGGCTGGGTAGGTGAGGATGTCTGACTCACAGTTCCCTGTAACAGGTGGTCTCATGGCTGCCCATGCTCAGCGGGCCCCCTCACCACTTCCTCTGATTGGAAAAGGGGTATCCAGGGGTCAGGGACTTGCCTGGGCACGTGGCTGTCCTCCTGGTCCAACTGGAAATGAATAAAGAAACTGTCTGAAGAGAAAGAGCATTCTGAGAGCTACTCTGTGGCCTGAGAGCAGGATAAGCTTCTGATGTGTGGACAATCCAAAGGATCCTCGCGGCCAAACTACAGAATGCAGGCTTCCTGCTGCCTGTAAGCTGCCGCGGCTTCTTGGCAAGGGATACGGCCTGGACCGCCTGCCTCCATCACCTGGCCAGAACCGATCGGACCAAGCAGGGATAGACACACCAGACCCACAGAGAATCTGTCCGTTGACTTGGATGGGCCAATTGGATCTTTTGAACTGGGAGTTGAGAATCTATCAACTGGTTGTGGGCTTGAAGTTTAAGGTTGTAGGATGGGGGTTCAGCCTAGTATTGAGGGCACCTACATCCTATGTTGGAGTTCCTACATGTCATACCTAGCTCCAACGGCAGCTTCCTCTAATATATACCCTGGGAGGCAGCAGGTGAAGCCTCAAGCACTTGGATCCTTCAGCCCTGGCGTTTGTAAACATGACTTTATTTGGAAATAGTCTTTGCAGATAGAATTAAGCTAAGATGTGATCATTATGATGGACCCTGATGAATGTCTTGTAAGAAAGGTATCCAGAGAGCTGGTTCTGTGCCCCAGCCCTGGGGCCACAGCATGATGGGTATGTGTTCAGGTTCTGGTGGTGGAAGGCTGATGGGGGTGGCAGGGTGGGAATACTCTGGGGCCAAGTTTTCATCCCAATCAAAACAAATGTGGGAAGGTATGTTTCCTCCTGTTGGACATTCCCAAGCAAAGATGTGATGTTGGAGCAATGGCAACCATCATGTTCCAAGAGGTGGGATATCAAAGGAGGAGCTTGGAGACCTGATGTGACTAGCAGTTGTGGCTTAGATTAACCTTGAACTCTTCTTGCTCTGGTTATGCATTTTCTGGTCAGATACTCTGCTATGTATACTTCAAATTATCTTAGTATATGTGCTGCTGAAGCGAGTATAGTTCATATTATCTTAACCGAAAGTGGAAGGAAAGAAGAAGGCAGTAGGTTGAGCATCATTTACATGCAGATTAAATTATTTTAAAGATTTATCTTTATTATTATTATTTTTTTATTGGAAAGGCAGATATACAGAGAGGAGAGACAGAGAGGAAGATCTTCCGTCCGATGATTCACTCCTCAAGTGAGCACAACGGCCGATACTATGCCGATCTGAAGCCAGGAGCCTCTTCCGGGTCTCCCACGCGGGTGCAGGTTCCCAAAGCTTTGGGCCGTCCTCTGCTGCTTTCCCGGGCCACAGGCAGGAAGCTGGATGGGAAGAGGGGCTGCCAGGATAGAATCGGCGCCCATATGGGATCCCAGGCGTGCAAGGTGAGGACCTTAACCCCTTGCGCCACCGCGCCGGGCCCCAAGATTAAATTATTTTAAAGGGATTTTATTTATTTGAGAGCATTACAGAGAGTGAGGGAGAAACAGAGAGAGGTATCTTCCATCTGTTAGTTTACTCCCGGCCTTCTTCTGGGTCTTCCATGTGGGTACAGGGGCTCAAGGACTTATACCATCTTCCACTGCTTTCCCAGGCACATTAGCAGGGCGCTGCATCAGAAGTGGAGTTGCCGGGATTTGAACTAGTACCCATATGGAGTGCCGGTGCCAAAGGTGGAGGCTTAACTCACTATGCCACAGTGCCAGCCCCATGCAGTCTTTCTTATGTGTAACAGGAGAAAATTTGACTTTGGGGATTCTTTTTAATTCTATTTTTTAAGATTTGTTTATTTGAAAGACTGAGTGACACAGAGAAATTATCTATCTACCCACTGGTTCATCCCCCAAATGGTTGCGATCGCTGGGACTGGGTGGGCTGGGTCGAAGCCAGGAGCCTGGGACTCATTCAGGTCTCCCACATGGGTGACAGAGGCCATGCACTTGGTCCATCTTCTGCTGCCTTCCCAGGAACATTAACAAGGAGCTGCATTTGAAATAGAGCAGCTGGGACTTAAACTTGCGCTCATATGGGATGCCAGCATGGCAGGTGGTAGCTTAACTCATTGCACAACACTGGGACATAAACTTTTTTTTTTTAGATGATGTTTACATAGTTGTTCAGGGTGGGAAGGATCTAGGATTAGGGAGAAGTGGGTGTGATCATTGTTTCCAAGCTTTCTGTATCTTCTTCCTATCCCCAGTACCTGAGGATGAGTAAGGCCACCTTACATCAACCCAGGTTCACAGTGGCACATGTTCCAAGGGTGGATGCCCAGGAGGGTGATATTTTCGAAACGTTGTCGATCTTGCTGATTTATGGATGAGCAGTTCCTTCCAATGCCCATTGGCTGACACCATTGATCTTATAGTCTCTAATTGTCCAGATATTTGCTGTCATCACTGGCTGGGGTAGTTGTCCATATGTTCTGTTTTCCATTCTCTGCTATGATAGGCCCTCCATAGGCCCCAATGGGTTGCCATGTCCTCCGAGTGCATCCTGGTCTGCTGTCCAGCACTGCACCCTCTACACTAAGGAAGACCAATTCTCCTAGGTGTGTTCATGGACCCGAGCCAGGTGATCTGGGCCATGCCGGATCCCCTAGTGGTCACAGATTGAGCAACCACCTTGCAGGCGGTCCCATGGTCCTGGGGCTTGCGACCCAGGATTCATCGGACTCCCCATCCCTGGGGCTCATGGACCCAGCCCCCATCATGTAGGCAGGCTCAGGGACATGGACTAGGAGACCCAGCCCACCCTGGGACTCACGGACCCAGCACCCACCACACAGGCAAGCCCAAGAACCTAAGACCGGAGACCCAGCCCCACTGGACCATCCCCCACCCAAACATACGCTGGACACCTACATAGGTGGGCCCTAGGACCTGGGCCAGGAGACTCAGGGCCCATTTGGATCCCCCCCACCCATGAGGCTCACGGGTCCAGCATTCACCACACAGGCAGGCACAAGGACCTGGGCCAGGAGACCCAGGCCTTGCTGGACCACCTGACTCCCGGGCTCACGGACACCCATTACATAGGTGGTCCCTAGGAACTGGGCCTGAAGACCCAGGGCCCAGCCAGATGCTCCCGATTCCCAGGGCTCATGGACCCAGCCTCTACCACGCAGGCAGGCTCAGTGTGGGTCCACAAACTTTTACATTTGTGTGTTCAACTCTGATCACAAAAATGCTTACATCAGTTCTTTTTGTGTGTTTTTGTAGTAACAAGTTGACACTGGAGAAAGGGAATTTGAGGTTCATGTAACTGGAAAGTCTAGAAATATTTGTAGATGAAGCTCAATCCATGGGCTCAAGCCATATCACCAAGATCTGGCTTTCTCCCTGTGCGTGGTCTCTACTTCCTGCGGCTGAGGTGTCTGGGGCTGTGGTGGGGGAACAGGTGCGGTGTATGGAAGGGAAAGGCAGGGACATGAAGAAGAGGTTGAGGTTAGAGAGGGGATTAGGGAGGACTTACCGGCTGGGGTGGGGAGGGTAGGGCTTCCATGGAGGAAGAGATGTTCCTTCCGCCTGGAAGGGCGCCACTTGCCATTCCTGCAAGGACAAGAGGCCTCTGGGGGATGCGGCAAGTCACTGATTCTCGGGGTGGTGGTGGTGGTGCAGTGGGAATGCAGCAAGGGATAGGCCCCGTCCATTCCCTCATCCCCGCCCCAGCTGGCCAAATGCCTCCAAAAACACAAATGCCTGCCTTAGGTGGCACAGAGGAACTCCTGGTTACTAAACCCTGCAGAGGGGTGACTGAGGCCCACAGAGCTTCATCCCAGGCCCCAGTTCCTGCTTGTGGGGACAGCCAGGGGCTGAACTGCTTAAGTCCAGTCCCTGCTGTTCTATTCC